CGCATGTCCTGTTCAGGGCTGCAGGAGCAATTGTCCATTATTTTAATTGGATGATACTGGCCTACGTTTGCCGTTGCTGGGTAAAACAGGTAAACGCCCCCTTTTGAATCAGTCTGAGACTGCGTCTGCTCGGTCATTAGCTCAAAGCTAACCCTTCGACGAAGAAGATGGCGAAAAGAAAAAGACGACGAGTATCGTACATTTCAGGACGAATGGACCGAAGAATTCGCCTTTGTGGAGAGAGCGGGTTCTGCGGTGTGTCTAATTTGCAATGACAAAATTACATCGTTGAAACGGTCGAATGTAAAGCGGCACTTCGACACGCGCCACGCTACCTTTGCATCAAAATACCCTGCGGGAGACAGCAGAAAGAAAGCGTGCCAAGAGCTTCTGAGCAGGGTGCAAGCTAGCCAGCAGCAACTCCGCGTATGGACCCGGCAAGGTGACTATAATTCGGCTAGCTTTGCTGGTTCTTTAGCAATAGTGAGGAACGGAAAACCATTCACAGATGGCGAGTATGCTAAAACGTTCATGCTGGATGTAGCCAATGAACTTTTTGATGATCTTCCGAACAAAGACAAGATAATCAAACGGATACAAGACATGCCTCTGTCGGCAAGAACTGTTCATGATCGTACCATCGTGATGGCAAACAAAGTGGAGGAAACGCAAGTGAAGGACATAAATGCAGCGCCGTTCTTTTCTCTGGCTTTGGATGAGTCAACAGACGTGAGCCATTTGTCGCAGTTCAGCGTGATTGCAAGATATGCTGTTGGTGACACACTGCGCGAAGAAAGTCTTGCTGTTCTGCCATTAAAAGGGTCCACAAGAGGTGAGGATTTATTCAAGTCTTTCATGGAGTTTGCTCAAGAAAAAAGTCTACCTATGGATAAACTTCTCTCAGTGTGTACTGATGGTGCTCCGTGTATGGTGGGGAAAAATAAAGGATTTGTGGCGCTTCTCCGTGAACATGAAAATAGACCCATCCTAAGTTTCCATTGCATTATACACCAGGAGGCACTTTGTGCTCAGATGTGTGACAGGCAGTTTGGCGAAGTGATGTCGCTGGTCATTCGTGTGATCAACTTTATTGTTGCCCGAGCCTTAAATGATCGCCAGTTTAAAACACTGCTGGATGAAGTTGTAAATAACTATCCTGGTCTGCTTTTGCACAGCAATGTGCGTTGGTTGTCAAGAGGGAAGGTGCTTAGCCGTTTTGCGGCTTGCCTGAACGAAATCCGGACTTTCCTTGAAATGAAAGGCGTCGGGCATCCTGAGCTAGCCGACACCGAGTGGCTCCTCAAGTTTTACTATCTCGTAGATCTGACTGAACATCTGAACCAGCTCAACGTGAAAATGCAAGGCATTGGAAATACAGTGTTATCCCTTCAACAAGCTGTATTTGCTTTTGAAAACAAGCTGGAGCTTTTCATCACGGATCTTGAAACAGGTCGTTTACTACATTTTGAAAAACTGAGCCAATTTAAAGATGCATGCACAGCAAGTGAGCCCATTCAAAACCTTGATCTCCACCAGCTAGCTGGCTGCACATCCAGTCTCCTACAGTCCTTCAAAGCACGCTTTGGAGAATTTCGTGAGCACACTCGTCTTTTTAAGTTCATCACCCATCCAAACGAGTGTTCACTGAACACAGCCGACCTGAATTACATCCCTGGTGTCTCCGTCAGAGATTTTGAAGCAGAAGTGGCTGACCTGAAGGCCTCAGACATGTGGGTGAATAAGTTCAAGTCACTGAATGAAGATTTGGAAAGAATCACACGACAGAAAGCGGAGTTGGCGAGCAAGCACATGTGGACAGAAATGAAAAAACTCCAACCCGAAGACCAGCTGATTCTCAAAACTTGGAACGCGCTTCCTGTCACATATCACACACTGCAGCGTGTGAGTATTGCTGTATTGACCATGTTTGGATCTACGTATGCATGTGAGCAGTCATTCTCACATCTTAAAAACATCAAGTCCAACCTACGATCACGTTTAACGGATGAAAGCCTCAACGCTTGCATGAAGCTTAACCTCACCAAGTACCAACCCGACTACAAAGACATCAGCAAATCCATGCAGCACCAGAAGTCGCATTAATGGTGAGTGTTATAACAACATTATTTAAAAGAATAAATTCAGAGGCTTATTATACTGACATTTAGTTGAATTCACTTTTAAAATATATTATATGGCTCTCACTGAAATAAATTTCCAAATTTTTTGCTTTCATGGCTCTCTTAGTCAAAAAGGTTCCCGACCCCTGTATTAACTTGTTGTTCAGAAGCTACCTGGCAACACACAAACTATACCTCAAGCAAGTGGACTATCATTTAGACATTTATAGCAGCAAATTCATCTCAATAATCTAATTTTGGACCACTGGTGGGTCCGGGCTTCCCACTCTAAGAACCACTGGGCAAGAGGAGCTCCCTCTCGTGGCGAGCCTAGGAGGAACTTATCCTACTATTAGCGACCGGACTGTGACCATCAACAAATCAGACCATCAACTCGCTTGCACTTGGCGAACCGGTTTCATCACTCTGGTTGGGCGTCTCCAACCGCAAGATTTAAAATAAGGGATCTCAGCAGACGGTGGCGACAGCTCTGGCGCTCTGATGACCTCTAAGCCACCGGCGGCCACCTCCCCCACCAACGCTTAAATATTGACAGAGGCACGCGCAAACATGCACGTACACACAGCACATACAGCGCACGCACGCCACCCATTGTTGTACAGCGGTGGAGGTGTGGAGGGTGGAGCAGTGTAAATAAGCCAGTCCCTTAAGTTTGTATTATTATTGTTGTAAACGTTTCTTTTACCCAACAAAGGCTTTTGCGGGAAGGTCCTTGGCAAGTTTTGGTTGAAGGGGGCGATGACTGCTGCTGCTGCTATCACAACTGAATAACGTGCGGGGCGCCACGGTGGCGAGATATTAACTACCTCGCCTGGTTTGCAGGAGGTCATGGGTTGCACCCAGGGGCGGAGCCACAGGGGGGGCAGGAGGGGGCTCAGCCCCCCCCTGAAATTTTGGGAAAGTCGGTAATCGGGATAACCGGCTGCTGCAGAATGCTGGCAGCCACCTCGTGTTGCCCTGCAGGCTGCCACCTCGTGCTGCCCTGCACGCTGCCACCTCGTGTTGCTCTGCAGGCTGCCACCTCGTGCTGCCCTGCAGGCTGCCACCTCGTGTTACCCTGCAGGCTGCCACCTCGTGCTGCCACCTTGTGCTGCTGCCCTGCACGCTGCCACCTTGTGCTGCCCTGCAGGCTGCCACCTTGTGCTGCCCTGCAGGCTGTTTTAAGTGGCAGCCTTTCGAACTCATCGAACTTACTAGCCACATCAGCGGCTCCGACCTATTAATAAACTCCGCGTTCAAATCCAATAAAATTTGTTTTATGCATTTGTGGCGCCCATTGGAAAACATAAACACTGGATATCTCAGAATATTGAAGTCAGCCCCCCCCCCAAAGTCTAAATCCTGGCTCCGCCCCTGGTTCCATCCCGATTCCCACCTTGACGCCTGCTGTACATTTGGAGTTTGTGTTTCTCTCTCTCTCTCTCTGTGGTCACGTGGAATTTTTCTCCAGGTCCTCCGGTTTTTCCCTCCACATTGAGAGTCGACGTCACCACGCGTTTAGAGTATTTAGCCGTGATAAATGTCCACGTGATAAGCCACTTCGTTGAGCTATCATTTATGGCAGCCAGGTCGCTTCTGAAAAAGAGCGATAAGAGCACAGTGGGCCTTGCCTGGTAAAATAAAAAAGAGTTTTAGTTTCGCTTTCAATTTGTCTAGCTTGTCCCCGCTCTTGCGATGACGTCGGGGAATCTTTAACATCCACCGTGGTTGTTACGGCACCGCCGCAGTATTAGGCAGGGCCGCCGCTGGAGTTGAACCGTGAACCTCTGCCACGGCCGCGCCGCGTCACCGCCTCGCGCGGTCGCCCAAGTTCACCCGCGAGAGAGCAGTGCACCACCCCGAGGGCACCATGTCGTTAAATAGACTTCTGTCGGCCCGGCGACCGCCAATAAACCTCGAGTGAGTGAGCAGAAGGTGTAGAGGTCACGGCGACGCCGGTATCGACCGCCTCCCTTACAGCCCTTCCTCCCTCCCTCCCTCCGTTTCTCCCTCCCTCCGGCCCTGCCTCCCTCCCTCGCGCTGCACTATGAGACTGTGCAGACCCGGGTTTGATACCCTGCCGCAGATACCATCCTTAGCGATCGATATCACAACCAGTCCCGAGCTTCCCCTAGAGCCACTCAGACTTAAAAGAGTACCACGAGAGGCGTGCTACATCCCCAATGGGGGGGGGGGAGGGGGGGTGAGGAGGGAGACAAAATCAACCGGGCGTCGTGCTCGCCACCCCCCCTCGTGTGCCGTGTTGGCTCAGGTGGTGGCGCAGTGGCAACAATCGTGCATCAGAGCCAGCAGCTGTTGGTTCTGTGCGGAGTTTGTATCTTGTCCCCATTCCTCTGGGATCTCCGAGTTTTCTCCCACAGTTAAACAGAACACACAAAGGGCACATCCCAATGGCGAAATAATTATCTGCACATTACTCAATTGGGATTCACACGCAGCAGCAACATCTCCCCCGACTGCGAAAAATCTCGGCACTACGCTCCTTGGCAGTAACCTCGTGAGACGACTCAGCGAGGCTTTCCTGGGTGAACAAGTTGAATCGTAAATAAATAAACAGAAATAAGAGCCCATTTCCACTGGCTGAACAAGCGACTCAAGTTGGACTCGCGCTCGTGGCCAACATCGGTGACGAACATCCGAAGCGGTCATGGGCCTCCCCTTAGGTCAACTCAGCCTTAAAGCAGTACCTGGTGCAGTGTGTAAACATTAGCACTGTGGAGACAAAGGTGGGTCCGGGCATGCTGCTGGCGACACCGCTAACTAATTAGGTGCGCGCTGTGCCAGCCTTCGTAGGTGCTCACAAAATGCACTTGCCTTAACGGCCCGTTAAGATTATACGGGGGACCTTTGTCTTTGTACCTTGCCGAAGATCGGCATGTCCACGGAGCCCCACGTGTCGGCTCCCCAGTGCACCAGACCCGACAGGAAGTCGGCCGTCACCATCCCGGCCACTGCAACGGAAAAAAACGGCGGCACCGTCGTCACGGCAACGGCAAAACGGCGGCACCGTCGTCACGGCAATGGCAATTCCGCGGCACCGTCGTCACGGCAACCGGCGAGGCCCCACGTGTCGCGCCACTGGCCTGATAAGCAACTGACAAAACATTCAAACGTACCAAACGACCTGGTGCTGCTGCGTTTTGGCAGTGGTGCGCAAGCACAGATAAACAAGACAACTCAACACCTGTGACGCTCTGGCCCTCAAGATGAAGGCGGAGGGCCGATTGTCCGAAACGTCTCCTCATATAAAACAAATCCCTCAGTACGGCAGGATGCGTTGTGAACGGCGGGACGGCTGAATTAAACAGTTATCACGAGTTCAGTCTTGTTGAGCCGAGGCGACCTGTGGCTGGGTAGGGATTGCCAGCTGCCCTGGCTTGCCCCAGGATCACCCTCTCGTTGAGCAAGGCAACTTGGTGTCCTGGGAAATCTGTACGTGTTCCCGGGGATACGTTCAAAGTCCCCGTTTTTAAATCAATAACAATAATAATTCACTGCTCAAGAGACAATGCATTCACGCGTAGCCTCCCACCTCCGCTGAGCTCGTCAGAATTCCTTCTGCCTCCCGCTCAAGACGGCTCCCGGGATGTTTTTTGCACCCCGGGAGGTGGCTACAGCGACGGCTGTGGTGTCGATGTTTCAGAGTATTTGTCTGCTGCTATAAATGTCCACGTGATGAGCCACTTCGTTGAGCTATCATTCGTGATGGCCAGGTCGCTTCTGACAAAATTGCTAAATAGCTGAGTGGGCCTTACCTGCTAAAAAAAAATAAAAAAAATGCGGATAGTTAGTTTTCTGCTGCTGCATGACAACTTCTCTCTGCGGTTGTGGCGTCATTTCTCAACGAGTATTTTCCGGGCTCGCTGGTGACAACCGGAGTAGGTGGCATGTGACTAGCAGTAGCCACAGCCATAGTGAGATAGAGAGAAAGAGGGGGGGGGTGCAATACTGGATGTGGCGTGCTGGGGGTGGAAACGGTTGGACGACAACAATGCGCTCTTCCCGACCCCTAAGGCCGAGTCGAACAAAAACGAGCGAGAGAGAAGATGCAAGGCACTCGAACCAAGCCAGCAGGCAGTACTAAACTTTTATTTTACCGGGTAAGGCCCACTGAGCTATGTAGCTTTCTTTCAGAAGCGACCTGGCTATCATAAATGATAGCTGAACAAAGTGGCTTATCACGTGGAAATGTATCGCATGGCGATTCTAAATGCGGAGGCAAAACCGGAGGACCCGGAGAAAAATCCACGCAACTACGGGGAGACAGACATGCAAACTCCAAGTATGCAGCAGACAACAGGATTGGGATCGAACCCAGACCCTTCTGCGTACCAGGCGAGGGAGATAACATCTCTCTAACCGTCAGTGATTCTTGAACCTAACCGTGACACCAAAGGATGGCAATTGAGGGTTTTTTTTGTACACGGTTGCTGAGCGCAGGCCCAGAAGGCCATGAAGCTGCCAGCAACAAACAGCACTAATATCAAAGATGTAACAGATATTCTTGGGTCTTTCGGTAAAGTCACGTAGATAGGTCAAAAAAAAATAACAAAAAAACTACGACGTTTCGATCACAACACAAGCGGTCGTCTTCAGGAAAAGGGGGTTTAGCTTCCAAGGCAAACTGCTTATAAGGGGTTTGAAATGGGCGTAGCCCCAATGTCAACAGCCAATGATAATGTAAGTGGTGGGCAGCCCAACCCGACGGTGGTTGGTTTTCCACCAAAGTGACGAATATTGAGTAGCTGCTGTGTAAACATCGCCACTTGGTAGACAAAGGCGGCCGGGCCTGGTGCTGGCCACCCACACCCTAGTGCACCGTCCCGGCTTTCACAGGTGCTCGATAACAACCAAGAGTCGTGAACGATTAGTGCACAACCTGAAGCAATAAGGAAAAGTGTTTAATCGCCGCAGCCCCCCCCTGCCCCTCCCCTTTCCTGCCTACCCACAACCCCCCCACCTTCGATCATCAAAGCAACAAGATGACCTCTCACCCAGATGCCCAGACAGAGCAAACTCCACGTGTAACTTCCAGTCTCACCAGGGGTCACCAGTCGCATGTGTTGTGTTGACTTTTGGCCGTTATCGATAAGCACAAACAACAGAGAACGTGTAAAACGTGCTCATCTCGATTTATTCATCGACCGGAGGCGGTGAAGCACGGTCAAACGAGCCTCCGTCTCCATTCAGCAGTGCATTGGCGAAGGTCTGTAGGTTGCGTTTACGTACGCGTTGATGCATCATCCCTCCGGGGGGCCGATAAAACAAGTATCATTTTGCGGTACCAAATCAGCAGCGCTTGTCCTATGGACAGACTCGCCCCCCTACCTTACGAATGTGGATACCCCACCACTGGCTCCACAGGACTGTTAACAGGAAATGAGCAGCAATGGCTCGGAGCGGGTTGGAGCCAGGCCGTCGCTCCGTGGCCATGTCACGGGTCGTCACGTGACCAATCGCAGCGGAATGCGCCGTGCGGTTTGAACGTATGCGGTGAAGAGCAAGACCATGCGGCTGATGGGATGTGTAAAAAAATATATATTGGATTTTCGTTGATGAAGGAACAGATATGCAAAGGAAGCAAATTTCCTCGCTTATTTATATTGTTGGTTATATAATCTCGGCGAACGGCAATGTTTGTGACGAGTTTGGGCGGCCACATTTTAACTGGCTAAGATCGATATTTGGGAACCGGTAATCGATTCCGTTCTTTTTTTACTTACGATTAATCGACTCGCAGCCCTCGTCACAAGCGGAGGTGAAAGTGCGCGGTGGGGGGGGGGGGGGCAGTTTACCGATGGCGATGAGGATGTAGTGAGCCTGGTCGACGCTGAAGTTAATGACGAGGTGGTAACTGTTGAAAATGACGAGGATGGCGCACAGCATCACGCTCACCCACTCCTGCAGACGCTTACCTGCAGACGAAAAGCGTGGCATTGTAAAGCAACACACGACAGCACGGGGCAGCGCGTTACGGTACAATGCAACAATATGCAATGCGTTACAATACAGCCATTACAATTGTGGCCAAAATGCGAAGTGGCGCATATAACACATTGCAATCCACTGCAATACAACACATTAACTGCATTGCAATAAATCACCACGCTCACCCACTCCAAAGACAAAGATCCCCCGTATAGCCTTGACAGACCGTAGGGGCAAGTGCTGTTAGCGAGCACCTATGAAGGCCGACACGGCACACGAGGGGGAGCGTGGCCAACTCCACGCCCGGGCGCCTTTGTCTCCCCAAGGGTGATGTTTACACACCAGGTACTCATTTGAGGCCGAGTCGACCTAGGGGAGGCCCAGGACCGGTTCAGATAATCGTCACCGGTGTTGGCCGTGAGCGGGAATCGAACTCGGGTCACCGGGTGCGTAGCGCAGCGTAGCGCTAACCGCTACGCTACCACTCCCCATAATACAATACAGCATCACGCTCAGCCACACCTACGTATGGTAGTAAACCACAACACCACGAAACGACACATACACCACTACGTGGCAAACATTGCCCAGTTGCCAGTCGGTGCTGCGTACACCTTGTGCCACACAGGGGCAGCTGCCACTGGGGTCCCCCCCCCCCAGGTTAACTGCAGCAGAGCACTGCAATGGTTCAGGTGAGAGGTCATGTAAAGGGCTTTGAGTTGCCAAGGCATTTAAGCCAGCACCCTTTACATGTCCTGCAATGCTTATCACTAACAAACACAATGTATTGCAATACAGCGCCACTTTGTATTTTGCAAGCTCCTTCAGATGAGTAATATGCAGGAGATTGCAAGACACAAGGCTGTCGTCTTCTTCCTCATGTGGCCGATGTTGACGTAGAGTAATTCTACATTGAGATGTGGTTGAGCCAATTACTTGCGGCAGTTAATTTTGATGGTTGTAGTGATGGTGATGAATGTCATGACGATGATGGTTGATCATTGCCGTGGTAATGATTTTTTGTCATGGTAATAGTTATCGTGGTGACGACAAGGTGTGGTGATTACGGTGATTGTGGTGATGATGGTGATTGTGGCGATTATCATCAGTTGTGGCGACGGCGATCATGCTGGCAGTTGAGGCTGCTGATGGCTGCACTATCCAATATTTATAATATGTACGAAGGGAGCGGTGGCGGTCAGGGATTTGGGGTGGGGAATGAGGCGGTGTGGCGGGGGTGGCGGTGGGGGGGAGTCTCATAGATGAAGCAGCAACTCCGGTTACCCCCCAGGCTTGTGAAAAAAAAAGGTCGGCAGGATTCTTGACACCGGAGTCACGATGGACCGCACCCTGCCCCGCGCCACGCCCAGCGATCCCGCAAGCCGGTGCCTACGTGACGACCGCTTCAGCTGCCCACAAGGAGGGAAGTTGAGGCAGCAGTGGCGGTGACGGCGGCGGCGGTGGTGGTGGTGGGGAGCGGTAGTGGTCGCGGTCAGTGCACTACGAACCCGTCAACTCGAGCTCGATTACCGCTCGCAGCCAACACCACCGGTGACGATTATCTGAACCGGTCCTGGGCCTCCCTAGGTCGACAACGCCTCAAACGAGTACCTGGTGCGGTGTGTCAACATGGCCACTGGGGAGACAAAGGCGGCTGGGCGTGGTGCTGGCCTCCCACCCCCGTGTGTGCCGTGCCTGCCTTCATTGGTGCTCGCTAACAGCACTTGCCCCAAAAGTTCGTTCAGGCTATACGGGGGACCTTTGTCTTTGGTGATGATGAGTTACAGTGGTGGACATTGTGGTCACTGTGCAGTTGCGATGGTGATTTTGATGATAACGATAGTTACTGATGGGGTGGTGGAGATGATACTGGTTGTGACGATTGTGATAAGTATGACGGCGAGGTTGGTAGCGATGATGGTTATGATGGTAACGGTCGTGGTGATGGTGATGATTGTGGTCATCTGCTTGTGAAACAGAGAATGCCAGTTTATGAGCGTTACCAGTAGGGCACTTGGAACCAATATAATAACGTCCTTCACCCAAGAAAGCTTCATTAAGCCTCAAACCTCTTATTCATGGGGAAACCAGAATTGCCGTAAATTATAAACGTATAATTAGTCATGAATTGCAATCACAATGCAATTGCAATGTGACATAACGATGCCACTGTAATCACAATTATCATTAACCCCACTTCTGGGGGACACAGGGTAACATGCAAATCCCTTCACAGACTGATACGACAATGCACTGCTCTACTTCCAGGCTCAGCCGTGCTTCAGTTTGAGATCTGGCAAACTCCAGGTGACGTTGCAAGCTTGACTTGCAGAGTAATTACAATCCATGTTAACGGCTCTCTTATCACTTCAGACTTTTAGAGCAAAGATTGCATTTTGAAAGTGTCACCCAGTAAGCACCACCTGCCACGCAGACAGCTTTTGAAATGCTTTCATTACGTAATCAGCAACACTCCTTCGCGGCAGACACTTTCCATCTCCAGCTCTCACGTCAACACATCGATCAATACCCATCATTTTGTGTGAACGCGTTTCAACAGCGTGAGTGTGTGAATACATAAGACGCCTATGGGTGGAACCAGCAGTTCCCTTACATAATTGTACTGGACAGAAGTCAACACGTAGTAGGCTAGATTTAAAGCTTTCGTGACTGCAAGGATCCATACTCTTTGGTTCTATTGGGTAAAGTCACGTAGGTGAAAATAAAATAACAAAAAATCACGACGTTTCGGCCACAACACAAGCGGCCTTCATCAGGTGAAGGGACGAGACTGTCTGGAGGACAGCGCTGGAGTGAGAGAAGCTACGCTTAGATCACGACCTTTAAGCTGTGTGAGATGAAAACAAAGCGCCTTGACAAAGGAATTAGCATATAATTTAGCATTGAAATGGCTCATTGAAATAGCTAAGTGCTAATTAAGTGCTAAATGCTATTTTTTATGCTAATTTCTTTGTCAGAACACCATGTTTGCTCGCACACAGTTTAAAGGTCCGCTGTCTGAGCGTGGTTGTGTTTCTCTAAATTCTCCTGTTTGATTAGTACTAGGTGCCTCGGTGAATGTATATGCTCTGACTTTAACATAGCTATTTCTGTGACCAGTTACAAGCTAATCACTCAGCTATTTCAATGCTAAATTCTATGCTAATTCCTTTGTCAAGGGGTACCTCTGCGGATGTGTATACTTTAACTTAGCTATTTCAATGAGCCATTTCAATGCTAAATTATATGCTAATTCCTTTGTCAAGGCGCTTTGTTTTCATCTCACACAGCTTAAAGGTCGTGATCTAAGCGTGGCTTCTCTCACTCCAGCGCTGTCCTCCAGACAGTCTCGTCCTTTCACCTGATGAAGGCCGCTTGTGTTATGGCCGAAACGTCGTGATTATTTGTCATTTTATTTTCACCTACGTGACTTTACCCAATAGAACCAAAGAGTACGTAGTAGGCTTTCGCGACCGATATTACTCATAAAGAAGGCTTTTTGGGTTAGATCGCGTAGCTATGTGTCGTTAATCCACCACCACCCGACACAGCCAATTAGTGAGGTCTGTCACGTAAACAAAACGTCACCAATTAGTTACTCCTTCAGCACTCCGGTGTGTTAGAGGGTAAACCCACAACATTTACCATTTGAGTACGACATTGGCGCTGGCGATTACAAGAACCAGCTTCATCAGGTGATTTGCCAGAATTATGAAAAAGTCTTCCTGTGTCCGATCTTCAATAGAGTAAAGTGACGTCATCACTGTGAGCCTATCAGGTGCAAAGATCTGAAGGGGGTGAATGTAATCACATAAATTACAATTGATTGTTAATCTGAGAGTGTGCAGTATATATTAACGGTTGGATTAGTCACAGTTCATCAACATACAATAGATTATGATAATCTGAGATTATGCAGTACATATTACCGGTCGGATTTGTCACAGTCAATAAGTCGAGTTTATTGATCACTTGATCGCCAGCTGCCAGCCACCTCTGTATCACTCTTCTGACGCTACTACCATAGTTACTGTTCCCATGAGGTTCACTCACTGATTCCTCCAACTATAGTGAGGACTCAGTCTACCAGACTGACCGTGTCGTCTCATCCACAGTGTTCAACCACCACACTGCAGGTCACAACAACTCACCTCAAACTCTCCCATCCATCCACTCACTCACCACACTGGAGGTCACAACAACTCACTCACCTCAAACTCTCCCATCCATCCACTCACTTACTCACCACACCGGAGGTCACAACAACAACACACTCACCCACTTACTCACCACACTAGAAGTCACAACAACACACTCTCCCACTTACTTATCACACTGGAGGTCACATAACACACTCACGCACAAACTCTCTCACTCCACAAGGGAAGTCACCCCACACTCACCCACTTACTCACCACACTAGAGGTCACACAACAACACACTCACCCACTTACTCACCACACTAGAGGTCACACACCAACACACTCACCCACTTACTCACCACACTAGAGGTCACACACCAACACACTCACCCACTTACCACACTAGAGGTCACACAACAACACACTCACCCACTCACCACATTAGAGGTCACACAACAACACACTCACCCACTTACTCACCACACTAGAGGTCACACAACAACACACTCACGCACAAACTCTCCCAGTCACTCACTCACCACACGGAAGTCTACACTTCTCATTGCGCTCCGTCCCTTCGCACTGATCAACTTCCAATGTTCCTCCCACCGCCTCTTTTCCCAAGCTCTTAGAATAGCCTTGCTCAATTCAAGGCACGTATTAACCGTAACCTATGACACCTTCAAGTACCGTTTGTTGCTGGTTGCATGGTGTTTGGGACGGTGTAAACATCAAAAATAGCTCATCAACCAAAAACTATTTTTAAACTATTTTTTTTATTTCACCGGGTAAGGCCCCACTGAGCTATGTATCTGCTTTTCAGAACCGACTTGGCCATCACAAATTATAGATCAACTTAGTGGCTCATGTGGAAATTTATAGCAGCCGCCAAATAGTCCAAGAGCGTGTTTCTAAATATGGAGGGAAAAACCGGAAAAAAATAACGCGACCACAGGGAAAACATTCAAACTCCAAACATACATCAGGCGTCAGGCTCGGGGTTGAACCACACGACCTCCTGTATACGAGGCAAGGGAGTTAACATCTCCTAGCCACCGTGACTGCATACGCGTGATACACAAGGGCGTGTGATGTCGCCACCGTTGATGCAACACAAAATGAGCACTTGCTCTCACCCACGCGTAACGCTACCGTACACGCAGTGTCTTTCTCCCCAAATAATAATCCGGGCTGGGATGTCGGCGTCACTTCATGAGATGAACCCAAGTCAGAAATCTCGCAGAGCCGTGACTGCATCACCCCGTGTCATTTGGAGGACGGCCCAGGGAAGTGGACTTCGCAGAACTACCACCGAGAACCCATTGGATTGCCCGGCTCTGGCTCGCGACACAGTAGCAGGCAAAGGCGCTGCCCTTCCGCTCTGCGTATGTGCGAGCCATAACAAGTAGCCATCCCTATCGGCACTTTATTTGCCGATAAGCGCTGCCTCTCTGAAAGCCATAAACACTGAAGGGCTCACCAAGGCCACGTTTCGCTTTAACCGGACATCGACCAAACGCATACCCCCGGCGACGCAGACGAGCAGCGAGTGCGGGAATTGTATAACCATACTTCACCACGCCGGTCAGTGCGGGTTGGTGACGGCGGGGAGAACGGACGAGGCAGCCGATTGATATTTAAACGATTTACCAAGGAGAGCCTCGCAGAGTCTCGGGATTCCATTCCATGTATCTTCTGCTACAATGGGCATGTTTGGCCAAAGCTGTACTATTTTAACGAGTGTTTATAAACCGGAGAGCACCCAACCAGAAGCATAGAAGCACAGTACAACAAACTCTGATGCACTACCCTCTTCTGCTGGGCACTATGAACACAATGGGCATGTTTGGCCAAAGCTGTACTATTTTAACGAGTGTTTATAAACCGGAGAGCACCCAACCAGAAGCATAGAAGCACAGTACAACAAACTCTGATGCACTACCCTCTTCTGCTGGGCACTATGAACACTGGATATCGACAAGTGTGCAGCTCATCAGCGAGCCAAACCCCACTCATCAGCGAGCCAACTCCATCTATTTGACAGCCATCAAGATCCCCCGTGTAGCCTGGACAGACTGAAGGGGCAAGTGCTGTTATCGAGCACCTATGAAGGCCATCACCACGCCTTTGTCTCCCCAGTGGCGATGTTCACTACACACCGCACCAGCTACTCATTTGAGGCCGAGTCGACCTAGGGGAGGTCCAGGACCGGTTCAGATAATCGTCACCGGGTGTTGGCCGTGAGCGGGAATCGAACCCGGGTATACGGGCTCGCAGCGCAGCGCTAACACCGAGGGAGCAACATCCACAAGCTGTTAGCGCCCAAGTTCCATCTCCCTGAATGTATTGGCGCAACAACCGTAAAGTTTACCCCGAGAGCGCAACACCCCCAACACCGCGGGCAGCGACTACCCGCCGCCCAGGGCTACCACCAATCCCGGGCAGAGACGCCTAGGCGACACCGGGGAGATCGGCTTTGGTAGGCCGCGACCGCCGTCAACGCAGCCCCCGTCGCAGCCTCACCGGGCGAGTAGAGGTCCGCCAACTCGCGCGCCCCCGCGTGCTGAGGCCCCCAGCGCGGTGCGCGCTCTTCGCGGGCCTCCTCCTCGGGCTGGTTCTGGTTGGGGTCCTCCTCGGCCATGGAGCCCCGCGCCCGAGGTACCTCAGACGACGCCGCCGCCGCCGCCATCGCTGCGTCCCGCCAGATGACGCCGCGACGGGGGCGGGGGGGCATCGCGCCACTCCACGCGGACCAATCGCGATGCCGGTGACGTCACAGGGCACACTAACCACACCCCCCCGAGCCCCCCCTCCTCCCCAAGCCCCCCCCCCCCAGCCCCCTCCTCCCCAAGCACCCCCCCCCCCCCTTAGCCCCCACCCTTAAACAACCACCACGCTGATTGAAGTCGTTTACGTCACCAACCATTCCATTCCACCGCCCTCACAATTAGCCGACTTCGGCGGTTTGTTCTCGCTGTGGTTGTCCCACCTGATGACGATTGCTTGTGTTGCGATCGAAACGTCGTGATCGATTTTTCTACCTACGTGACTTTAGCGAAAGAACCAAAGAGTAGCTCTGTCGTCCCGACAGGTCTGTTCCTTTCACCTGAAGAAGGCCACTTGTGTTGTGGCCGAAACGTCGTGATCGATTTTTCTACCTACGTGACTTTAGCGAAAGAACCAAAGAGTATGTTAAAAGTAGGATTTAGATTTAAGAATCGATTCTTTTGGTGGGGGGGGGGGTCCGAACGTTACGACAACAAACGATGAAACACACGATATGAGTGCACAGTATAGGAATGGGTTAGCAACTCACAAATTTACTGAGCCAAGAATGTCTGTCCCCCGCGTGACGTCACTCCACGTGGGCCAGCCCCCCTCATTAATAATCATGATAAGGTGACGTCCTCCACATGCAGCACCCCCCATCATTAATAATCATGAGCAGGTGACGTCACTCCACATTAAACAGCCCCCAACATTCATAATCATGAAGAGGTGACGCCTTCCAAATAGACATCACCCACCATTAATATTAATTAGCGGGTGACGTCACTCCTCATGGGGGGGGGCGAGGCGCCTCCTCCCCCCTCCTCGGCGTCAACTCACAACCCTCACTACAAAGGCAGAACCCTCATCACGTCACGTGATCTCCGTGACGCTGTTGAGACATCGAAGTAAAAAGGACGTCGTGATGAACAAGGGATTATAACTTTTATACATTAAACAAGTCTGTGTCACCGCGGCCTTACAAATTGCACACGCATTGATGCAATGAATATCAAGTCGCGGTCTGATTTTCGCTTGCAAGTGTCAGATTTAATGCAATACACACGTGCTAGGACGGGCAAAAGGCTAGTATACAAATAAAATACAATTTTCCATCTTAGCAGGTAAAGCCCACTGACGTATTAACTTATTTTTCAGAAGCGACCTGGTCACAAATGATTACAAGTGCCGGTCGCCTTGCTAAACCGCGGGAATCTGTGGGTACACAAATACCGCGGGTATGAAAAACGTGGTTGGTGAGGGCTATTCTTCTTTCGTATGGCATTGTGAAAAGCAACAGTTTGTATTTGTTCTTAATGGTCGTCAAATTAATGTAAAGGTTCCTCATCCATACTCTTTGGGTCTTTCGGTAAAGTCATCACGGAGATAAAAATAATAATTTTATTATAAACAAAATTCTTATATTTTATTATTATATTATTTTTTATTTTATTATAAAAAATTATATTTTTTATTATATAATTTTTATTTTATTTTATTATAAAAAATATTGTATTTTATTATGTTTCTATCTACGTGACGTTACCGAAAGCTTTAAGTCAAGTTCCTCATCCAGCCCAAGGAGGTCGTTGGCGCAGCGTGGATTTCAGCGACACTGCCACGATGTGCATGGATGAAGCGTTCATCGGCGACCTGCTTGGTGCTTTGGGCTTCTCCACAGTCGCAGTTTGGCGATTCTTTGACCTTCCGTTGATGGAACGTGCACGCGCATCCACCGTGTTCGTTCGAGCGCGGTTCAGCGTGGTCCGTAGTCGTCGTGGGAGAGAGAATCCCGGTACTTCCACCGCCGCGTCGCTAGTGATGTTTTTGTTTGCCACGTCCATAGCCGCCCACGATTCAGAGCACCGAGTGGCGGTGTCTTCTTGTTTCCGGCTGCTCGAGCGGAAGTGCTTATCCAGAACGGTTTCCTGGATAATCGTGATTTGAAGCTTTCGTGACTGCAGGAATCCATACTCTTTGGGTCTTTCGGTAAAGTCACGTGGGTATAAAATAAAATAAATCACGACGTTTCGGGCGCAACACAAGCGTCCGTCATCAGGTAGGAAAGCATGGTCTGCTGCTGAGGGAGACTGTTTTTAAAGGTTTGAAATGGGTGTAGCCCAAGGGTCATAAAGAAGTTGCCGGGGCTAGTGATGTTAAAGTGAGAAATTAGCATGTAACTGTAAGATAGGAGAGCGGCCTCCTGGAAGAGGGCACGGAAGTGGCTATGTTAATGTGAGAGATAAACATGTGAATGTGAAATCGAAGAGTGGTGCAATCCAAAGGCATGAGTGCAATCCAAAGGGTGCATTCCAAAGGACATGTGGGCATGAGAGTGCAATGCAATGGACATGTGAGCATGAGAGTGCAATGCAAAGGCATGAGAGTGCAATGCAAAGGACATGTGAGCATGAGAGATCTAAGAGAGAGGCATAGAGAGCCACAGAGTCGGAAATAACAGCTGACATAGGCAGGTAGGATGGAAACATAACAGTCAGTTAAGACTTACCTGGTTAATAACGTCCTTCCAATGATTGCTCAGTTCGTACCCATCTTCTCGGTTGAAGTTGTATCTGTGTTTATATAACTGGATGGCTTCATGAACAAATCTCTGAAGGTAGCCGGTAGGTTTGCAGAGTACCTCTGTCTTGGAAAAATCTATTTTGTGAGTTCACAGCATTAAAACAATGATTGCCAACGGCAGAGGTATTGGTCCTACCGTGTTTCAGATCTGCTTTATGTTCACGAACGCAGTCCGAGACATGTCGTTTCGTTTCCCCAATGTAACTGCCGCCGCAGCCACAACTTAGTTTGGAGACACCAGGGGATTGCATGTCAGGAATCACATCCTTTACAGATGGGATTAAATCACGGATTTTGTGCACTGTGTTGAAACGAACCTGGATAGTGTTTAAGATTTTGGAAATCTTTTTGGTAACCCCTGCTATGTACAGTAAAGCGATGGTTTTGGTTGGATCCTCAGAAGGTTGTCTCCCCATAGCTGGGGAGACAGCTTTTCGGATTGTACGGTCAAAGTATCCGTTCATCCTGAGGGCTTGGTGTACGTGTGCTCCAACTCACACCATAGGGAGTTTGCACGTGGTCACGTGGATTTTTCTCTGGGTCCTTTGGTTTTTCCTTCCACATTTAGAATCAATATCACGCACTTAAGAGTATTCGGCGACTGCTATACATTTCCACACAAGCCACTTCGTTGAGCTATCATTTGTGGCCAGGTCGCTCCTGAAAAAGAACTGTATAGCTCCTGGAGAGCTGCGAAACAGACCTTCAAAGCTCATCGGATTGCTCTAGTTTAATATTTTGATTCTGGGTGTGCCGAGTCCGTTGTGTAAAAGTGGGTGACGGGAGCAAACCAATTGAAAAGTAATTTCTTTAAAAGGGCTTTTTGTCTTTAGTTTGTTGTGCTTCCTCACACCTTCGATTAGCACGGTTGGCTGCGTACGGTGTGAAAGAAGTTCAACACACACAGAGAGAGACAACGCAGAGCAGTGGACTCGAGTCCTTGTCCGTTTTACAGTCACCCAAATATCTCTAATTAATATTCCTGTAACTCGATTTCTTTCTAATTGTGCTCTGAGTAGTCAGAATGTAATGTGCCCGAGCCCACTTTTAATGATTCGTTGTAATGTTTAGTGTTTAACATTCATTCGTGTCTGTGCAACGGTCTCTTTAGGAGTCCTCGTGTGAGACGGAGCCAGTCGATTTTGCTCCAATTTATACAAAAGACGTTTTTCACGATTGCATGCTTGATTTAGTAATAATCGATTACTTGTGCTGTAGATAAAATCTGCCAATCTCCCTTATAAACCCATTAATTTCACCATTCGAGTAAACTATTTGATTAATATTTTAAACAATAAGCATTTTTATAATACTCTGTGCCTCAGTCTCGTCAGATCTCAGAAGCTAAGCAGGTTTGAGCCTGGACAGTGCTTGGATGGACGACCACCACCATATAACAGGTGCTATAGGCTATGCTGTGGTCAAGTACAGGAACAGATTGCCCTGCATTCCTCCAGGGTGGAGAAGTATGGTCAAATATCACCTATACATGACCATCTCCCTATGCACGAGGCCCTCGTACATCCAGCAGTGGATTGACAAAATTGGCTGCATGTGCTGCAGTATACGCGTAATGACCGGCGTGGTGAAGTATGGTCAAGTACCCCCCCCCACGGCTGTCGGGCATCCCTCGTGCATGGGGTGGGGGGAGAGTGTGGGAGTCGAATTGTCAAGACTGTAGCACAAACAAACAAAAAACTAGTCACGAACAAACACTGCAACAAACTTTGTTATCTTTATTACGTTTACACACGCGTGCGATAAACCACAGCCGTGAAGGAGAGAAACTCGAGGCTTGGTGGCGCGCGTGTTACACACTGGCAGTGCTGCTGCTGGCTGTCGGCCATACCGAGGCAGGGCTCAAGAGTAACGACACACGACGTCACGATTACCTAACGCCACTATTCAATACTCAACGCATCAACTTTTACCTCAAACACACCACAATTTACCTCCCGCACCTCATCATTTACCACGAAAAATACTAACGCATCAACATTTACCTCACACACCTCATCATTTACTACAAAAATTACTAACTCATGAAAATTTACCTCTCACTGCATCATTTACCACTAAAACACCTCACTACAACACCTCACTTCTTACCTCTTGCCTCATTGTTTACCAATAACACCTCATTATTTACCTCACTACTAACATCTCATCATTTACCACGAACTCACACTTAGTCTTAAAACAGTCTACCAACATCACGATTCATAATCAACTTATTTTGGATTATATTGTGTAGGTATGTCAATGTTTAACTACAATCCTTTCACAACTTACTCAACTACACATTCTATTTTACCAGGTAAGGCCCACTGAGCTACACAGCTCTTTTTCAGAAGCAACCTGGCCACAAATGATAGCTCAACGAAGTGGCTTATCGCGTGGAAATTTATAGGAGCCAAATACTCTAAACGTGTGATGTTCATTCTAAACGTGGAAGGTAAAACCGGAGGACCCGGAGAAAAATCCACGCGGCCACGGAGAGAGACATGCAAACTCCAAATATACAGGTGTTAGGGTCGGGGTCGAACCCACGACCTCCTGCACAACCGGCGAGGGAGATAACATCTCGCCACTATTGCTTGAATCGATTGGCGATGTCGGGTGGTGGAGGGTTCGAGTCAAACACTAGACATCATGCCCACACGATCCAATCCGACAAACCATTTATGAATCGCCACAAGCTGTTGACTTTAACAACGGGGGGGGGTCAACACGGAAACAGAAATGAGAGGGGGGTTGCGGGCTCAGCAGCTCCGCTCGCACACGGTCCCAACTTGTGAGAAACGCATTTTCACCGGAAAAAAACACAAATGGTGGAAAATGACAAAATCCGAGTTTGCCTCGGGACAGTGGAAGGCCCAGGGACGCCAGCGTTAAACGCTTTTATTTATTTTATTTACGGTCGCTCCGCTGCTGCCCTGAGGGGGTAAGGGAGGGAAGTGAAAGGTAATGGAGCATCGTGGCTCACAGCGTGGGGGAGGACTGGGTTCAGGTGCTGGTGACCATGGAACGGAACTGGGCTGGTTCCCTGGCAACTGGGCCCTGCCTGCCAGACAGTGGCGGAGGCGTTGCATGCAAACCGGGACGGAGGGAGAGTTGGAGGAGAGATGGAGATAAAGATGCAGGGAGATATGGAGGGAGAGATGCAGGGAGGGATGGATGGAGGGAGAGAGGGAGGGATGGATGGAGGCAGAGAGGGAGGGATGGATAGAGTGATGGAACGAGGGTTGGTGGAAGGGAGGGAGACAGGGAGGGATGGATAGAATGAGGGATGGAGGGATAGATGGAGAGAGGGAGGGAGGGAGGCAGTTAGAGCAGACGGACGGTCTTGCCGGTGACGGTGAGGAAGTCCTCGTCAGCCAAAGCCCGAAGCGTCTCATCAAACAGCTCCTTCGTAACGGCCTGCACAAGCACACGTCAACACACACAGATAAAGATCCCCCCATCTAGCCTTGACAGACTGTTGGGGCAAGTGCTGTTAGCGAGCACCTATGAAGGCTGGCACGGCACACAAAGGGGTGGGTGGCCAGCACCCCACCCTGCCGCCTTTGTCTCCATAGCGGCATTCATTACACACCGCACCAGGTACTCATGTGAGGCTGAGTCTACCTAGGGGAGGCCCAGAACCGGTTCAGATAATCGTCACGGATGTTGGCCGTGAGTGGGAATCGAACTCTGGTCGCCAGGTTGGTAGCTAAGCAGGCTAACCGCTGCACTACCGCTCCCCCATACATAAACAGGCACGCATACCTGAGCGAGCAAGTAAGCGATCGGCTGGTCAAGTGAGCGGGTGCCCTATTGGTCTGGTGAGTACACGAGTGGTTGAGCAAGCAAGTATTTGAATGGCCAACTGGCAGAACGAGTGCTTGAGTATCAGAGTGAGTGAGTGCTTGAGTATCAGAGTGAGTGAGTGTTTGAGTATCAGAGTGAGTGAGTGTTTGAGTATCAGAGTGAGCGAGTGTTTGAGTAGCAGAGTGAGTGAGTGAGTATCAGAGCGAGCGAGTGTTTGAGTATCAGAGTGAGTGAGTGTTTGAGTATCAGAGTGAGCGAGTGTTTGAGTATCAGAGTGAGTGTTTGAGTATCAGAGTGAGCGAGTGTTTGAGTATCAGAGTGAGTGTCTGAGTAGCTGAGTGAGCGAGTGTTTGAGTATCAGAGCGAGCGAGTGTTTGAGTATCAGAGTGAGTGAGTGTTTGAGTATCAGAGTGAGCGAGTGTTTGAGTATCAGAGTGAGCTAGTGTTTGAGTATTAGAGCGAGCGAGTGTTTGAGTATCAGAGTGAGCGAGTGTTTGAGTATCAGAGTGAGCTAGTGTTTGAGTATTAGAGCGAGCGAGTGTTTGAGTATCAGAGTGAGTGAGTGTTTGAGTATCAGAGCGAGCGAGTGTTTGAGTAGCGGACTGAGCTAGTGTTTGAGTATTAGAGCGAGCGAGTGTTTGAGTATCAGAGTGAGTGAGTGTTTGAGTAGCAGAGTGAGTGAGTGTTTGAGTATCAGAGTGAGTGTTTGAGTATCAGAGTGAGCGAGTGTGAGTATCAGAGCGAGTGAGTGTTTGAGTAGCGGAGTGAGCGAGTGTTTGAGTAGCAAAGGGAGCGAGTGTTTGAGTAGCAGAGTGAGTGTTTGAGTAGCGGAGTGAGCGAGTGTTTGAGTAGCAGAGTGAGCGAGTGTTTGAGTAGCAGAGTGAGTGTTTGAGTAGCAGAGTGAGCGAGTGTTTGAGTAGCAGAGTGAGTGTTTGAGTAGCAGAGTGAGCGAGTGTTTGAGTATCAGAGTGAGTGAGTGTTTGAGTAGCGGACTGAGCTAGTGTTTGAGTATCAGAGTGAGTGAGTGTTTGAGTAGCAGAGTGAGCGAGTGTTTGAGTATCAGAGTGAGTGAGTGCTTGAGTATCAGAGTGAGTGAGTGTTTGAGTATCAGAGTGAGTGAGTGTTTGAGTATCAGAGTGAGCGAGTGTTTGAGTAGCAGAGTGAGTGAGTGAGTATCAGAGCGAGTGAGTGTTTGAGTATCAGAGTGAGTGAGTGTTTGAGTATCAGAGTGAGCGAGTGTTTGAGTATCAGAGTGAGTGTTTGAGTATCAGAGTGAGCGAGTGTTTGAGTATCAGAGTGAGTGAGTGCTTGAGAATCAGAGTGAGTGAGTGTTTGAGTATCAGAGTGAGTGAGTGTTTGAGTATCAGAGTGAGCGAGTGTTTGAGTAGCAGAGTGAGTGAGTGAGTATCAGAGCGAGCGAGTGTTTGAGTATCAGAGTGAGTGAGTGTTTGAGTGTCAGAGTGAGCGAGTGTTTGAGTAGCAGAGTGAGTGTTTGAGTAGCTGAGTGAGTGTTTGAGTATCAGAGCGAGTGAGTGTTTGAGTATCAGATCAAGCGAGTGTTTGAGTAGCGGACTGAGCTAGTGTTTGAGTATTAGAGCGAGCGAGTGTTTGAGTATAAGAGTGAGCGAGTGTTTGAGTAGCAAAGGGAGTGAGTGTTTGAGTATCAGAGTGAGTGAGTGTTTGAGTATCAGAGTGAGTGAGTGTTTGAGTAGCAGAGTGAGTGTTTGAGTATCAGAGTGAGCGAGTGTGAGTATCAGAGTGAGTGAGTGTTTGAGTATCAGAGTGAGTGAGTGTTTGAGTATCAGAGCGAGTGAGTGTTTGAGTATCAGAGTGAGTGAGTGTTTGAGTAGCAGAGTGAGCGAGTGTTTGAGTAGCGAAGTGAGCGAGTGTTTGAGTATCAGAGTGAGTGAGTGTTTGAGTAGCAGAGTGAGCGAGTGTTTGAGTATCAGAGTGAGTGAGTGTTTGAGTATCAGAGTGAGCGAGTGTTTGAGTATCAGAGTGAGCGAGTGTTTGAGTATCAGAGCGAGCGAGTGTTTGAGTAGCAGAGTGAGCGAGTGTTTGAGTATCAGAGTGAGCGAGTGTTTGAGTAGCGGAGTGAGCGAGTGTTTGAGTATCAGAGTGAGTGAGTGTTTGAGTATCAGAGTGAGTGTTTGAGTATCAGAGTGAGCGAGTGTTTGAGTATCAGAGTGAGCGAGTGTTTGAGTATCAGAGCGAGCGAGTGTTTGAGTAGCAGAGTGAGCGAGTGTTTGAGTATCAGAGTGAGTGTTTGAGTAGCGGAGCGAGTGTTTGAGTATCAGAGTGAGTGAGTGTTTGAGTAGCGGAGCGAGCGAGTGTTTGAGTATCAGAGTGAGTGTTTGAGTAGCGGAGTGAGCGAGTGTTTGAGTATCAGAGTGAGCGAGTGTTTGAGTATCAGAGTGAGCGAGTGAGTATCAGAGTGAGCGAGTGTTTGAGTAGCGGAGTGAGCGAGTGTTTGAGTATCAGAGTGAGTGAGTGTTTGAGTATCAGAGTGAGTGTTTGAGTATCAGAGTGAGCGAGTGTTTGAGTATCAGAGTGAGCGAGTGTTTGAGTATCAGAGCGAGCGAGTGTTTGAGTAGCAGAGTGAGCGAGTGTTTGAGCATCAGAGTGAGTGTTTGAGTAGCGGAGCGAGTGTTTGAGTATCAGAGTGAGTGAGTGTTTGAGTAGCGGAGCGAGCGAGTGTTTGAGTATCAGAGTGAGTGTTTGAGTAGCGGAGTGAGCGAGTGTTTGAGTATCAGAGTGAGCGAGTGTTTGAGTATCAGAGCGAGCGAGTGAGTATCAGAGTGAGCGAGTGTTTGAGTAGCAGAGTGAGCGAGTGTTTGAGTATCAGAGTGAGTGTTTGAGTAGCGGAGCGAGTGTTTGAGTATCAGAGTGAGTGAGTGTTTGAGTATCAGAGCGAGCGAGTGTTTGAGTATCAGAGTGAGTGAGTGTTTGAGTATCAGAGTGAGCGAGTGTTTGAGTAGCAGAGTGAGTGTTTGAGTAGCTGAGTGAGTGTTTGAGTATCAGAGCGAGTGAGTGTTTGAGTATCAGATCAAGCGAGTGTTTGAGTAGCGGACTGAGCTAGTGTTTGAGTATTAGAGCGAGCGAGTGTTTGAGTATCAGAGTGAGCGAGTGTTTGAGTAGCAGAGTGAGTGTTTGAGTAGCAGAGTGAGCGAGTGTTTGAGTATCAGAGTGAGTGAGTGTTTGAGTATCAGAGTGAGCGAGTGTTTGAGTATCAGAGTGAGCGAGTGTTTGAGTATCAGAGCGAGTGAGTGTTTGAGTATCAGAGTGAGCGAGTGTTTGAGTATCAGAGTGAGCGAGTGTTTGAGTATCGGAGTGAGCGAGTGTTTGAGTATCAGAGTGAGTGAGTGTTTGAGTATCAGAGCGAGCGAGTGTTTGAGTAGCAGAGTGAGCGAGTGTTTGAGTATCAGAGTGAGTGTTTGAGTAGCGGAGCGAGTGTTTGAGTATCAGAGTGAGTGAGTGTTTGAGTAGCGGAGCGAGCGAGTGTTTGAGTATCAGAGTGAGTGTTTGAGTAGCGGAGTGAGCGAGTGTTTGAGTATCAGAGTGAGCGAGTGTTTGAGTATCAGAGCGAGCGAGTGAGTATCAGAGTGAGCGAGTGTTTGAGTAGCGGAGTGAGCGAGTGTTTGAGTATCAGAGTGAGTGAGTGTTTGAGTATCAGAGTGAGTGTTTGAGTATCAGAGTGAGCGAGTGTTTGAGTAGCAGAGTGAGTGAGTGTTTGAGTAGCAGAGTGAGCGAGTGTTTGAGTATCAGAGTGAGTGTTTGAGTAGCGGAGTGAGCGAGTGTTTGAGTATCAGAGTGAGCGAGTGTTTGAGTATCAGAGCGAGCGAGTGTTTGAGTAGCAGAGTGAGCGAGTGTTTGAGCATCAGAGTGAGTGTTTGAGTAGCGGAGCGAGTGTTTGAGTATCAGAGTGAGTGAGTGTTTGAGTAGCGGAGCGAGCGAGTGTTTGAGTATCAGAGTGAGTGTTTGAGTAGCGGAGTGAGCGAGTGTTTGAGTATCAGAGTGAGCGAGTGTTTGAGTATCAGAGCGAGCGAGTGAGTATCAGAGTGAGCGAGTGTTTGAGTAGCAGAGTGAGCGAGTGTTTGAGTATCAGAGTGAGTGTTTGAGTAGCGGAGCGAGTGTTTGAGTATCAGAGTGAGTGAGTGTTTGAGTATCAGAGCGAGCGAGTGTTTGAGTATCAGAGTGAGTGAGTGTTTGAGTATCAGAGTGAGCGAGTGTTTGAGTAGCAGAGTGAGTGTTTGAGTAGCTGAGTGAGTGTTTGAGTATCAGAGCGAGTGAGTGTTTGAGTATCAGATCAAGCGAGTGTTTGAGTAGCGGACTGAGCTAGTGTTTGAGTATTAGAGCGAGCGAGTGTTTGAGTATCAGAGTGAGCGAGTGTTTGAGTAGCAAAGGGAGTGAGTGTTTGAGTATCAGAGTGAGTGAGTGTTTGAGTAGCAGAGTGAGCGAGTGTTTGAGTATCAGAGTGAGTGAGTGTTTGAGTATCAGAGTGAGCGAGTGTTTGAGTATCAGAGTGAGCGAGTGTTTGAGTATCAGAGCGAGCGAGTGTTTGAGTATCAGAGTGAGCGAGTGTTTGAGTATCAGAGTGAGCGAGTGTTTGAGTAGCGGAGTGAGCGAGTGTTTGAGTATCAGAGTGAGTGAGTGTTTGAGTATCAGAGCGAGCGAGTGTTTGAGTAGCAGAGTGAGCGAGTGTTTGAGTATCAGAGTGAGTGTTTGAGTAGCGGAGCGAGTGTTTGAGTATCAGAGTGAGTGAGTGTTTGAGTAGCGGAGCGAGCGAGTGTTTGAGTATCAGAGTGAGTGTTTGAGTAGCGGAGTGAGCGAGTGTTTGAGTATCAGAGTGAGCGAGTGTTTGAGTATCAGAGCGAGCGAGTGAGTATCAGAGTGAGCGAGTGTTTGAGTAGCGGAGTGAGCGAGTGTTTGAGTATCAGAGTGAGTGAGTGTTTGAGTATCAGAGTGAGTGTTTGAGTATCAGAGTGAGCGAGTGTTTGAGTAGCAGAGTGAGTGAGTGTTTGAGTAGCAGAGTGAGCGAGTGTTTGAGTATCAGAGTGAGTGTTTGAGTAGCGGAGTGAGCGAGTGTTTGAGTAGCGGAGCGAGCAAGTGTTTGAGTAGCAGAGTGAGTGAGTGTTTGAGTATCAGAGTGAGCGAGTGTTTGAGTATCAGAGTGAGTGAGTGTTTGAGTAGCAGAGTGAGTGTTTGAGTATCAGAGTGAGCGAGTGTGAGTAGCAGAGTGAGTGAGTGTTTGAGTAGCAGAGTGAGCGAGTGTTTGAGTATCAGAGTGAGTGAGTGTTTGAGTAGCGGAGTGAGCGAGTGTTTGAGTAGCAGAGTGAGCGAGTGTTTGAGTAGCAGAGTGAGCGAGTGTTTGAGTATCAGAGTGAGTGAGTGTTTGAGTATCAGAGTGAGCGAGTGTTTGAGTATCAGAGCAAGCGAGTGTTTGAGTAGCAGAGTGAGCGAGTGTTTGAGTATCAGAGTGAGTGTTTGAGTAGCGGAGTGAGCGAGTGTTTGAGTATCAGAGTGAGCGAGTGTTTGAGTATCAGAGCGAGTGAGTGTTTGAGTGGCTGAGTGAGCAAGTGTTTGAGTAGCGGAGTGAGCGAGTGTTTGAGTATCAGAGTGAGTGTTTGAGTAGCGGAGTGAGCGAGTGTTTGAGTATCAGAGCGAGCGAGTGTTTGAGTGGCGGAGTGAGCGAGTGTTTGAGTAGCAGAGTGAGCGAGTGTTTGAGTATCAGAGTGAGTGAGTGTTTGAGTGGCTGAGTGAGCGAGTGTTTGAGTAGCAGAGTGAGCGAGTGTTTGAGTGGCTGAGTAAGCGAGTGTTTGAGTGGCGGAGTGAGCGAGTGTTTAGAGCGAGCTGCCCGCACCATGTCGGACTGCGTGCGGAGTTCGTCGAGTAGGCCCTGGTACTTGAGAGCCGGGCCCCGGCCCTTGGCCTGGATCAGCTTCTTGAGGGCCTGGACCAGCTCCTCGCGGCGCTTACGGGCGGTGGCGCTCATCCCTGCACCATCGCAACACAAATACCACGCCGCACAAACACACATAATAAACAAACAAGCGCAGCAATAACCACACGCACGTGGCGATCGTGACAATGCCAATGTCCACATACCCGTCGTGATGGTAGCGAGGATGGTCGCGATCGTGATGATGGAGGTGGTGATGGTGATGATGTTCACATACCCATAGGGATGATAGGTGATTGTGGTGATTGTGGTGATGGTGGTGATGGTGGTGATGATGTTGATGATGTCTGCGTACCCATGGTGGGGATAGAGATTGTGGTGATGATGGTAGTAATAATGTTGGTGATGACAATGACGATGGTCATGATGATGATGTTGACGATGGCGATGTCTCCGTACCCGTGGCGAAGATGGTGGTGATGTTGGTGATGACGATGGTAATGATGGTGGTGATGATTTTTGACGATGGCGGCGACGTCTTCCGTAGGCGAAAATGGAGATTATGTTGATGATAGTGGTGGTGATGGTGGTGATGATGTTGACGATGTCTCCGTAACCGTGGCAAGGATGGAAGTTGACGGTGGCGATGATGACGATGGCATCGCCGTCCCCCCGTACCCGTGGTGAAGATGGAGATGTCCACGATGCCGGTTCGTGGGTCCGTAGCGGCCTGCTTCAGGGCCTCCCGGTGCAGCCTCTTGGCCTCCTCCACGTCAATCATCTCAACGCGCGGGGACAACCGCACCTTGGCGTGGGCCTCGGCCAGGCGAATCAGGCTCTCCAGCTGACGTGGGTAGGCCGACACGGAGCCGTGGCCGCTGCCCACCTTGCGCATGTCCACGTAGGCCTACGGGGGGAGGGGAGGAGGGTTGAGACAAGAGGGGAGGGGACATCGTCATCAACACCTTTTATTCACTGGCACATGCGAGCCGTGCCGGCGCGCTCTCCCCGTCTCTCTCCCTCCACCGGCTTTCCTTTGGGCAGCAGGTTCAGCATAAATGTCGCCTGCTGCAGCCTGCACCACCATCACCACCACCCCCAACCACCACCACGAACCACCGCCGCCACACCTCAGACTCTCAGCCACCCCTCCCCCCGTATACATCTTCGTCGTCACTGTCGTCACTGTCGTCACTGTCGTCACCGTCAATGCCGTTATCGTCGTCGCTATCGTCATCATCATCATCGTAGTCGTCATCATCATCTTTTGTACCGTACGTAGCCAACTGCGCTAATCGGAGGTGCCTCCTGGGGGAAGGACAACAAACTAAACACAAAAAGCAGTTCAAATGAAATCAGTTTGTCAACCTAGACGATGATTTAAAAGTGCATAGCTCCCCCAGTGGCTTCCTAATATCGGCAGAGCGTTCCAGACGGCCGCACAAGCGCGTCCAAAATCGTCGCATGATATGGCGACCGTCTTTTGTCCACCGGCTCCGCGTGGGGGGGCCTAGGGTGGGGGGCGGAGTGGGGGGGGGGGGGGGGGTCGGAGGGGGGATGCCTCACCTGGATGAGCGTCTGGCCGGCCTCCTCGCTGAGTGTGGGGTGCACGTAGAGGCGTGAGTAGGCGATGTAGTCACGCAGCACCGCCATGTCCAGGAACTCCTCGTCCACCTCCTCCTGCGACTGGAAGTAGAGTGAGACGAGGTGGTGCGCCAGGCGGCGGTCAAACGCCTCGTCCTGCGGGTCCAGGATGAGGAAGATGAGGTCGAACCTGCAGCATGCGCCACACGCGCATGTACACGGTGGGGGGGGGGGGGGGGGGGGGAGAGACACACAGGAGAGAGAGAGAGAGAGACGGAGACCAGGAGGGGGACAGAGACCAACAGGGAGTGAGAGAGGGAGAAAAAGGTTACTCAACTCTTTCTACACATTTACAATTGTGGGTGAGTAGATGGGCAAGGGGGTTAGTAGGTGGGTAGGTAGGCGAGTGCGTGGGTGGGTGGCCGAGTGAGTGGGTGAGTATCTGCAATCCACCAACTCTCAGACAAAGCAACTGAGCGGCTAAATCAGTGAGAAGCGAGTCTCCAGAAGTTGCTCTTCGTCAGCCCCATGAAACCAACAGTTGTGTGTGCCACGGTGGTGAGATGTTAACGACCTCACCTGACATGCAGGAGGTCGTGGGTTTGATCCCGACCATGACGCCTGCTGTAAATTTGGAGTTTGCAAGTCTCTCTTTATCCCCGTGGTCGCGTGGATTTTTCTCCGGGTCCTTCGGTTTTTCCCTCCACATTTAGACTCAAAATACGTTTAGAGTATTTGTCTGCTATATATTCACACATTGTAAGCCACCTCGCTAAAACTATCATTTGTGGCCAGGTCACTTCTGAAAAAAAAGAGCTGTATAGCTCAGTTGCCCTTACCTGGTAAAATTAAAAATGTCTAGTTAACAGTGCCATCAGGAATCGAACTCCGGTCGCCGGGTTCACAGTGCGTGGCGCGCACTCACCACTGTGCCAACTCCTCACCACTTACACTAAACAATTTTTTTAATTTTATCCAGTTCGGCTCACTGAGCTGTATAGCTCTTTTTCAGACGCGACCTGGAGAAATGATAGCTCAACGAAGTGGCTTGTCACGTGGAAATTTATAGCAGCAGCCAAAAACTATAAAAGCGTGCCGTTGATTCTAAATGCAAAGGGGAAAAACTCGGGAGGGGACCCAGAGAAAAATCCACGTGACCACGGGGAGAATTTCGATTTAAAGCTTTCGTGACTGCAAGGATTCATCTTCTTGGTTCTTTCGGTAAAGTCACGTAGAATGAGAATAATTGTTTTATTCTCATTCTACGTGACTTCACCGAAAGAACCAAGAACACGGGGAGAATGACACGCAAACTACACATTTACAACAGGCGTCAGAGGTTCGGGATGGAACCCCACGACTGAACAAAGGCAAACCCCTCCACAGCTCTGAGGACCGAGCGCATCGGCTCAACTGTCGACGTGTGACGGAACGGAACGTCGGACTCTCCGCGCGTCAGGGGGTGTGAGGACCACCCGTGCCTCCCCCACCCCTCCGCTCCGGTCCTCACCGCGAGAGCAGCGTGTGAGGCAGCTGGATGTTCTCGATCGTCGTCTTCTTGTGGTTCCACTGCGACTCCACGGGGTTGGCAGCCGCCAGGATGGAGGTGCGGGCATTCAGCTGGCAGATGATGCCCGCCTGAGGCCGCGCGCGGAGACAAAGTACAAAGGGTCAATCCCCCCTCAGCGCTCCGTTCGGTCCGCACAGCAGTTGGGGCGAGCGCTGTGATAGCGAGAAGCAGTGTCGGATGAAGGCTGGCACGGCACACAATGGGGGTGGGCCAGCACCGCATCCCCGGCCGCCTTTGTCTCCCCGGTGCCGATGTTTACACACCGCGCCGGGTACTCATTTGAGGCAGAGTCGGCCTCGGAGAGGCCCAGGACTGGTTCAAATAATCGTCGCCGATGTTGGTGGCCGCAAGCGGGAATCAACCCCTGGGCCCTCGGGTTCGAATCGCTGCTCCCCTGGCACGCACAGGACCAAGACAACTCCTACGATACGCCACCACATCTCCTGTCAAGGGAAACTCGACAATGGTGGCAAACCTTACGCACGATCCAACCGGCGTCTCTTGTCGACACGGCGCAGCACACCGCTCGCGTTCACACGGAGCGTCTGGTGGTGCTGCAGCCACCCCCCCCCCCCGTCACCTTGGCGATGGAGAGCGTCTGCTGCTCCATGACCTCGTGCAGCACGGAGCGCGTGCTGTCGTTCATCTTGTCAAACTCGTCGATGCAGCAGACGCCGTTGTCGCTGAGCACGAGGGCGCCCGTCTGCAGCACCGTCTGGCGCGTTTCGGGGTCGCGCGTGACGTACGCCGTGAGCCCCACGGCACTCGAGCCCTTGCCGCTCGTGTACTGGCCCCGCGGCACCAGCCCGTGCACGTACTGCAGCAGCTGAGACTTGCTGGTGCCTTGCGTGTGGAGTGGGGGCGGGGGAGAGAGAGACACCGTGATAGTGCTGCCACGAGTATTTCTCACACACACCCGTGTGTGTGTGTGTGTGTCAGTGTGCTCGTTAACAGCACTTAACCCAAAAAGTCTGTTCAGGCAAAAGTCTTGACTTAAAACTTTCGTGACTGAAGGAATTCATATTCTTGGATCTTTCGGTAAAGTCACGTAGATAGAAAATGAAAATAATAAAACACAATTAAAATAAAAATTGAAATAAAAGCAAAAAACCCACGGGGGGGGGGGGGGTAGAAATAGGGGGAGAGAGTTATCATTCTAGATTTGAAACTTTCGTGACTGCAAGGATTCATATACACTCGTTTTTTCAGTAAAGTCACGTAGGTAAAATAAATGAAAACTCAATTAGATCACACAAGCTTCCGTCTTCAGGTGGAAACCGTCACAGCAAAATTGCATACAGCAATTGCATACATTGTGATTTAATTTAGTTGTTTTCATTTATTTTACCTACGTGACTTTACCGAAAAACCAAAGAGTATGAGAGTTCTACTCTACCCCCACTCTCTCCCCCTATCTCTACCCCCTTCCTCTCCCCCATTGTCTGACTGGCTGTCCCGCCCATGCTGCTAACGCTACACAAGTTCTCCTCCCGCCAGCTCTCGTCCCCCGCCCACTCACTTTGGAAACCCTTATAAGCAGTTACATTTGGAGGCTTGCCCTCTTTTCTCTCTACCTGATGAAGACCGCTTGTGTTGCGATCGAAACGTCGTGGGTTTTTTGCTTTTTTTTCTATCTGTGTGACTTTACTGAAAGAACCAAGAATAGGCAACAGTCTGTTCTATATGGAGGGGAACTATGTTTTTGGTAACGTAGCGATTAGCACGCAGCGCTACGAACCCGGCGACACGGGGTCGATTCACGCTCACGACCAACACCAGTGACAATTATCTGAACCGGTCATGGGCCTCCCCTAGGTTGACTCGGCTTCAAATGAGTACCTGGTGCAATGTGTAAATATCACCACCGGGGAGACAAAGGCGTGCCGCCGGCCTTCATAGGTGCTACTCGCTAACAGCACTTGCATCAACAGTCTGTTAAGGCTATACGGTGGATCTTTGTCTCGTGTGTGTGTGTGCGCATTGTGGGGTGACCAAAACACAGCAAGTTGGCACAGCAGGGGGCCAAAGGTTGTGCAGTCATCACAGTCAATCAACCCATGGCAGCGGTGGAGCCTGACACTTCACGTGGCCTCATAGTGCACCTGGCCTGGCACAGGCGCCGTCACCGCCACTTAGTGGCGAACGGCGGTTGTTGTTGTTGTTGTATGGGCCGCGTGGGCTACACGGGGGCCCTTTGTGTGTTGTGTACAAGCGTGTCGCCCGCTCACCCGGGTCTCCGCACAGGAGGATGTTGATCTCCGCGCGGAAATTCCCGCGGCCGGTTCCACTGAAGTCTTTGCGGGTGCCGCCAAACAGCTGCAGTAGGATCCCCTACGGCCACATCATCATCGAAGTCACCATCATCAACATCGTCATCATCATTATCGACATCATCATTATCGACATCATCATTATCGACATCATCGACATCGTCAACATCACCCATCGTCAACATCATCAACATTGTCATCGTCGTCGACGTCATCATTGAAATCAATGTCATAGATGTTGTCATCAAAAACATCTTCGACGTCATCAATCACGTCACCTGTTCACGTATAATCCACTCCCTGATTGGATGAAGGCATCGTAATTATAAACTCACTTCTACCCGTGGGTGTCACAGCAGCAGAGTCACAGCAGCAGAGTCACAGCAGCAGAGTCACCGTGCGTCGTCGCGAGTGTTCTGAGCTCCCGGACAGCAGTTTGGCTGGCGCTGCGTCTGTGCCGATGGCCTCAGCGAGTTTGTCATCAGGAGGCACAATGGATGGCTCCGACCGAGATCGCATCAATGCGATTTTACTAAAGGAGTCCGATCGTGCACCCGCAACCGTCTGTCATCGGACCCCAAGAGCCACAACTCCTTGCTCTCCAACCCTACTTAGTTGTGACCCCGTGACCTTGTGACCCCATGAGCCTCTCGCCTTCTTGATGTCGTTGTTCTCGTAGATGCTGGGCGCTAGAGCGGAGGAGAGACGGTCGTAGATGTCCGGCTTGGACGCCAGCTCCTTCAGAACCTCCACGCGCTCCGCAGAGAACACCTGGGGACGCGGGGAGAGAAGCGGGGAGAGTGACGGGCAGGGATGGGGCGATGAGCGTCGTACAAAATAAACCCAGGGGTCTCCGCGATCGTGGAGTTCCCCCGACTCCTGCTTTGATCTCCCTGAACCGCGACAAGGTGGACCGAATTGTAACCAAGCAAACGAGGTGTGGGGGGGGGGGTGTCGCCCGGCACCTTGTGCTGCTCCTCGTCGTCGATGCCGCGAAGGCGCTTGGCATCCGTCTTGATGAAATTCACCACGTCGATGTGGGTCTTGTACACGGACTTCACGTTGCCCGCACGCGGGTGAACACGCAGTGGCACCGCGCGGTAGATGCCTGCTCGCCCGCATACCGCGACGCAGCCGCAGGTTACTCGCACAGCACAGCCCACGCAGCCCTCTTCACCCACGTCACCCACGTAGCCCTCGTCACCCACGTCACCCACGCAGCCCGCGTCACCCACGTCACCCACTCAGCCCGCGTCACCCACACAGCCCTCGTCACCCACGTCACCCACGCAGCCCGCATCACCCACGTCACCCACGCAGCCCGCGTCACCCACGTCACCCACTCAGCCCGCGTCACCCACACAGCCCGCGTCGCCCACGTCACCCACGTCATCCAAGCAGCCCGCGTCACCCACGTCACCCGCACAGCCCTCGTCACCCACGTCACCCACACAGCCCGCGTCACCCCCACAGCCCGCGTCACCCACGCAGCCCACTGGGGCGAGCGCCGTCTAACAGGCTCCTCCATTTAGGCCGCCATGAGCAGGCCGTCGACATCAACCACACACGGCCGCCTTTGTATCCCCAAATACCAACGTTCACACGCCACACCGGGGTACTCGTTTACGAGGCCGAGTCGACCTCGGGGAGGGGTCCGGGACCGGTTCGGATATTGGTCACTGGCGTTGGCCGTGAGCGGGAATCGAACTCGGATCGCCGGGTTCAAAGTGCAGCGTAGCGCTAACCGCTACACCACCGCTCCCCGCATTTACACGTACACAAACAAAGACCCCCTCATACCCTTAACAGACTGTTGAGGCAAGTGCTGTTAGCGAGCACCTATGAAGCCCAGCAAGGCACACGAGGGGGTGGGTGGAAACACGATGCCTGACCGCCTTTATCTACCAAGTGACGATGTTTACCCATCGCAACAAGGTACTCGTTTGAGGCTGAGTCGACCTAGGGGAGGCCCAGGACCGGTTCAGATAATCGTCACTGGTGTTGGCCATGAGCAGGAATCGAACCCGGGTTACTGGGTTTATAGCGCAGGGCACTAACCGCGACACTTCCGCGACGCACACATACGCGAATAGATGCACTGCTAATCAACACGCCCGCTCATCCACTCATCCCTCTGTGTACTAACTGTCATACTCACTCACCTATTTGCCCATCAACTCGCCCGCTCGTGCATTTGCCGACCCATCCACTCACCCAACCACTCAATGACTCGCCCAACTCACTCATAAACTGGCCCACTCTCTCATCTACTCACTCATCAATTCATCCACCCACCCAATGCATTCTACAAACGCATTGACCAACTCTCTCATCCAGTCACAAAATCACACACACACTTGCCCGCTCACCCACGTGCTCACCCACCCACCCTCCCAACCACCTGTGCGTGCTCACCCACTTTCCCGCCCGCTCGACTGCTGATCCAACCGCTTTCCCAAATGCTCACCTACCCGCCCACCCATTCGTGCGTGCTTACTGGCCCACGCCCATGCGTGCTCACCTATCTGCCCACTCAACCGCTCGCTCGCCCTCCCCCGTGCGTACGTGTGTGTGTGTGTGCGTGCTCACCAGTGACATTGACACGGTCCCCGGGCTGCACCTTGTCCACCAGGTCGTTGTGTGCATACAGCACCACGGTGTGCGGCGTCTGCCCGGGCGGCATGTCGTCCGGGGACTCCTGCAGCTTGATCTGAGCACGCACACAGCGCCACCGCTTGTCACTCGCCACGTCCACCACCGCCACGTTCACCACCACCACGTCCACCATCACGTCCACCACCACCATCACGTCCAGCAGCGCGAGTTGCCCAGCACCATCGCCGTTAGTCGCTCAGCAGGGATGAGGTGCACATAATTAACAGAGTTCGCGATGGTAGTGACGATTGTAGTGACGATGGTGGTGATAATGGTAGCGATAATGATGGTAGCGATAATGATGGTAGTGATGATGATGGTAGTGGTGATGGTAGCGATGATGATGATGATGGTAGCGATGATGATGGTCGTGATGATGATGCCAGTGATGTTGACCTATGGTATATAGCCTGTGACCTTTGGCCTATGTTAAAAAAACCACGACCCGACTGAAAATCTTTGTGCCGATTCACCACCAGAGGGCAGCACACACACACAAAGATCCCTGTGGAGCCTTAACGGACTGTTGGGGCAAGTGCTGCCAGCGAGTAGCACCAATGAACGCAGGCACGGCACACGAGGGGGTGGGCGATCAACACCACGTCCGGCCGCCTTTGTCTCTCTAGTGGTGATGTATCATACACCGCACCAGCTACTGATTTGAGGCTGAAGCTAGAGACACCAATACCAATACGCGCCATTCGCCACTAAGTGAAAGTGACGTCACCATGGCGCCCGTGCCAGGCCAGGTGCACTTTGAGGCCACGTGAGGTGTCGAAGGCTCACTGCTGACAGAAGGTCATGGGACAGACCCAGGTGCCATGCGTTTGCTAACTTTATTTGACTAGCAGATGCACCACACCTTTGCCCCCTACGCACACTACCACACTGAACAGACCGTTGGGAAAAGTGCTGTTAGCGAGGAGCACCTATGAAGGCCGGCACGGCAGACGACGAGAGGGTGGGTTGGCCAGCACCACGCCCGGCCGCATTTGTTTCCCCAATGGCGATGTTTACACACTGCACCAGGTACTCACATTTATTTGAGGCCGAGTCAACCTAGGGGAGATCCATGATCGGTTTAGATAATCGTAACTGGTGTCGGCCACGAGCGGGAATCTAACTCTGGTCGCCGGCTTCATAGCGCTGTGCGCTAACCGCGACCACTACCGCTCCCCTCCGCACACACACGCACGTAGCCACACACCTCTACCCTCGCTCACTCGCGCACTCACCGCGAGCCCTCACCCCCCCCCCCCCACCCCCGCGGGCCCTCACCATCTGCTTGTCGGAGAAGAGCGAGCGGTTGTGTATGAGCGCCATGCTGTGCGTGGTGTTGCAGTTGCGGCAGAGCGCCGGCTCGGCGATGCGCCCGCGGTCGATCTCGACGCGGGCGCCGGCGCCGCACACGTGGCAGCGGAACACCGCCTCCTGCATCTCGGGGATGAGCTGCGACGAGCGGATCACCATCCCCGAGATGGTGATCAGCTGGTCGATGTCTACGCACGCACGGGCACGGGTGTTAGCACGTAGCGCGTGTGGTGTGTAGCCCGTGTGTGTAAATTGTAGCGTGTAGCGTGTTTGCAGTACGTAGCGTATGCGGCGAATAGCGTGTAGCGTGTGTGCGGCGAGTAGCGTGTGTGCACCGTGTGTGAGGCGTGCGCCCTGTGTGTAGCATGTGTGGCGTGTAGCGTGTGTGGCCTGTACCGTGCGTGTGGTGTGTAGTGTGTGTGACATGTAGCGTGTCGTACCCTCGGGGTTGAGGTTGCGCATGTTGCGTGTCTTCACGGCGTTGTAGGGCCGCACCTGCAGCTGGTGCTCCAGCACAGAGTCCGCGTGGCGCTCCACAAACAGCTCGTTGGCTGCCATGTCCAGCGTCGGGATCACTTCCTGCCGTGGCAAGCACAACCAGCTGCACCTCAACCTCGCGACCTCGCTCGCCGCGACCTCGCTCGCCGCGACCTCGCTCGCCGCGACCTCGCTCGCCGCGACCTCGCTCGCCGCGACCTCGCTCGCCGCGACCTCGCTCGCCGCGACCTCGCTCGCCGCGACCTCGCTCGCCGCGACCTCGCTCGCCGCGACCTCGCTCGCCGCGACCTCGCTCGCCGCGACCTCGCTCGCCGCGACCTCGCTCGCCGCGACCTCGCTCGCCGCGACCTCGCTCGCCGCGACCTCGCTCGCCGCGACCTCGCTCGCCGCAATCTCGCTCGCCGCGACCTCACTCGCCGCGACCTCGCTCGCCGCAATCTCGCTCGCCGCGATCTCGCTCGCCGCAATCTCGCTCGCCACAATCTCACTCGTCACAATCTCACTGATCCCTTGCAATGAGATACGACCACAGGCGCGGTGTGCGTGTTACAAAGCGGCATGAATGACACCGCGTCCCTACTCACTGCACACAAAGAGTGCGCATTTATTTTACAGAAGTAACCAATCATGGGCCTCCGCGCGAGTCCGTGGGCCTCCGCGCGAGTCCGTGGGCCTCTGCCCGAGCGAGAGAGTTTATCGGTCCCTATGCGAGTGTCAGCATCTGTTTGCGAGCAAACGGCTCCGTGGGGTAGGGGGCGGGCGCGTAACCATACTTCACCGCTCCGTGTGCTGCGCATGGTATGGGCGCTACCTGGGGGTAGTTGACGAGCTGGCGGTAGAGGTCAGAGTCGAAGAGCCGCAGGTGCTCCAGGTTCACGTTCAGAAAAGGCTCCCCGATCACACTCACCTGGGGTGGGGAGGTGAGGTACACATTTATGTATGCAAGGCGCCACGGTGGCTCGGAGATGTTAACTACCTCGCCTGGTATAAAGGAGGTCTTGGGTTCCTCTCGACCCTGACGCCTGCTGTATATTTGGAGTTTGCGTGTCTCTCCCCATGGTCGAGTGGATTTTTCTCCAGCTCCTCCGGCTTTTGCCCTCCACATTGACAATCAACATCACCACGCGTTTAGAGTATTTGGCTGCTGCTATACAATTTCTGAAAAAAAGACCCATGTAGCTCAGTGGGCCTTACCTAGTAAAATGAATATGTTGATAGTTTCAGTTATTCATATAATGACTTGGTTACCCGATGGTGAATGATGGTGGTGGTAGTGTTAGTTTTGATGATGATGTTGGTGATGATGTGTCATAGAGAGGAGGTGAGCGACGAGCAGTGAGCCGCATTTGCCGAGGCCGTGTCGGGAGAGTGAGGCAAGGGACGCGACTGGTTCGCTCGCTACGTCGTGGTGCAAGTGAGCGAGTGGTGAGTGAACTGGTGAGCGAGCGGGCAATTGGTGAGCGAGCGAGTGGCAAACGAGATGGAGAGTGATGAGCGAGCAAGTTGGCGAGCGACCAAGTGGGCGAGCGACCGAGTGGGTGATGAGCGAGTGGTGAGCAAGTGAATTTCGAATGGGTGAGCGAGCGAGTGGGAGAGTGAGCTGGCGAGTGAGTGATGAGCGAGCGGCGAATGAGCGGATGAGCAAGCAGGTCAGTGAGCGAGCTGGTGAGTAAGTGGGCGGGTGAGCGACGGGTGGGTGCGTAGCGAGCGAGAAAGTGGGTGAGCGAGCAAGCGAGTGGGTCAGTGGTGAGTGAGCGGGCGGTCACCTCCTCGAGGCGCTGCATGTAGAGGGGCGCCGTGAGGTCGACCCCGGGGCAGTCCTCGTCCTCGCGCTCCTCGCTTGTCACGAAGCGCAGCAGGAAGCGCTGAGCGCACAAACACACGGACGCACAGACGCAAGGACACACGTTCCCCAGGGAGGCCACGCGGGATGCAGGGTCAAGTGCCGCACGTGAACAACGCACCCACGCACAGGTGGGCGGGGAAGAGCGACGCGCCCGGCCGCCTGTCTCCCCCAGTGGGTCGATGTTTTTACACGCTGCACCGGGCGCTCATTTGAGACGGTTTCTCGAACTAGACGGGGGCCCAGGACCGGTTCGGATAATCGCCGCCGGTGTTGGTGGTGACCGTGAGCGGGAATCGCACTCGGGTCGCCGGGGTTTGTAGCGCAACGCGCTAACCGCTGCGCCACCGCTGCATGCGTACACCGTTAAAAATGGGTAGGAGAATGCGTGTATGGGGGCAGGGGCGAGTGCATGGAGGATCTAGGAGGCGGTGAGAGGGATCTTGTGGGTGACGCAGGGAAACTGGGTGGGGAGGCGGTGTAGGGATCAGAGGATTGGGGAGCCGAGGTCCCGTTCACAGGTGCAGAATGTGGCTGTGGCATTTGGACCACCCTGCCTCTTACTCACCCACCGACTCGCACACTCACCCACCCACCCAGCAACCTACCCACTCAACTATCCACTTATTCACTCACCAAGACAGTTCACATCGTATGGGGCTGGCAACTCCACGAAGCAGCTCTAGAGCCTCAGACGGGAATCGAACCTTGAACTTGTCCTTGCAGGTGTTGACGTTGACGTCCGTGCCCCAGATGACGAGCTTCTGTCCCATCGACTGCTCGCTCGCCACCGAGTCATCCGCCTGCGCTCCAACCACCACCACAGCCGCCGTGAGTGCAACAGCGGTTACAACCGCAACTAAGAGCACCGGCCACTGCTGCACCAACCGCACTTACTACGCCAACCGTACCAACCACAGCGACCATACCAACCACGCCAACCGAACCCACCGGAGTGTGTGGATGGGCAGGTGTGTGTGTGGGTGAGTGGGTGGACGGGCAGGTGTGTGGGTTGGTGTGTGAACGGGTAGGTATGTGGGTGTGTCGACAGGTGGTTGTGTGGACGGGTGGGCGGTAGCGTGCGAAGGGTAAGTGGTTGAACGGGCGTATGAGAGGGTGGGTGAGCGGGCGAGTCTCTCACCGACTGCTCCACGGCCGCCAGGTCCACCTGCCGGGGTTTGTGCGCGGAGCCGAGGTCGGGGCGCTGGCGCCGTGGGGTGCCGCGGGCGCCGCTGCGGCCCGAGCTCGGCGTGCCGTAGCACAGCGGGGAAGATGGCTCGCTCGCTCCTGCACAGACAAAAGCGCCCCGGGTAGGCCACGCCAGCTAATAGGGCAAAGTGTAGCACCCTACGAAGGCAGGGACGGCATGCGCGTGCACGAGGTGGCCGGCACCACCGCGCCAACACGGCCACCTTTGTCTCCCCAGCGCCGGCTGTTTGGTTAATTTACACGCCGTACCGGGAGCTCATTTTTAAGGTTGAGTCCACCTAGGGAAGGCCCAGGACCCGGTTCACATAACCATCACCGGTGTTGGCGACTGCGAGCGGCAACCGAACTCGGTTCGCCAGGCTCGTAGCTACCGCTCCAAAGACAAAGATCCCCCATATAACCTTAACAGACTGTTAGAGCAAGTGCTGTTAGTGAGTAGCAGCACCTATGAAGGCGGGCACGGCACACGAGGGGGTGGGTGGTGGCCAGCACGATGCCCGGCCGCCTTTGTCTCCGACGCACTCACAGACGCCAATGGCAATCTGGTGGCATCTGCCAAGTGTCCAATGGTTACGGTGTGCATCTGGTAGCATCTGGCATAATCTGGTATGATCTAGAGCTGTGTTCTTCACTGCAAGGCCCGTGGGCCACCTGGTGGGCTTTAGTACAGCCCCTGATGCACCCCTATCATCATCGTGCTGCTGTCAAGCCCCCAATGGTTTCAAACGTGTGGCGGCCCTCACACACTAGATGATGTCTTATCAGCGCCTCTGCCTCCTCTGCCTCACTGCCTCCTCTGCCTCCTCTGCCTCCTCTGCCTCCTCTGCCGTGATTCAATATTGAGTTATTTGCGGGGGGAATTTCTCAACAGCATTGGGCATGGACGGAGTTTGGGAGAGGGGGGGCACGGGGGTGAGGGGGGGGGGGCAAGACCTCCCCAAACTGGGCACCATTTATTTTCAGAAGTTTACAATAAAGATTTAAAATAAATCAATGATATGCACCTACAATTCCGAATGTGGGGGACAAAGATAACCCCTGCCCCAACCCCCACGAAATACAGAAGTCAAACTCTGCCTATGGCATTGGGATGTGGCTGTTTGTTTGGCTGATACCGGTTCCGCCGTGTGTGTGGGTTTAGCTATGGGAGGAAAGCGGAGGAAACGCACGCAGACAAGGGAGAGAACAAACAGACTCCACTCACTCACACTCTCACTCTCTCTCACACGCTCACTCTCACACTCTCAACCCTCCACACTCTCTCACTCTTTTACACTTACTCTCTCACTCTTACTCACTCATACTCACTCTTACTCTCTCATACTCACTCTCTCACCCTCTCACTATCTTACTATCTTACTTTCTCACACTCTCACCCTCCACACTCTCTCACTCTCTCACTCTTACTCACTCTCACTCTCTCATACTCACTCTCTCACCCTCTAACTCTCTCACTATCTTACTTTCTCACACTCTCACTCACACTGTTCTCCGTTCATACGGAGGCAAACTCCACACAGAGAAAGGCAGCGCCCGAGTCGGGAAACGAACCCAGGGGCTTGCCGCTGCGAGGCCACGGCGCCACCGTCCTGGCACCGCTGTGTGCGTGAGCGTGGGGAGGCGAGGGTGGGGGTGCGTGAGGGTGGAGGACCTGGGGGGGGGGGGGGGGGGGGGGGGGGGGGGGGGGAGGGGGTGGTACCTATGGTGCTGGGCTGGCGCGAGGGCGGCGCGGGGCTGGAGAAGAGCGAGGTGCGTGCGGGGCTCGGGGCGCCGGTGCTGCCCACGCTGCCCACACTGGCGCCGACCACCAGCGGGGATGCGGGCAGCGGCACGAGGTCGGCAGAGCCCGGGGACGCCACGGCGTCGGCGGCCAAGAGCCGGGCACGCTGGAGGGGGGGCGAGGACCCCCCCACGGAGCCCGCTGCACGCACACACACCACCGTAAATACCAGACACACCACCGCACGCGCACACACGCACGGTACACACCGCTCACACCGCCTCGTAAACAAGATTGTAAATTTTGATTTAAAGCTTTCGTGACTGCAGTAATTCATATTCTTAGTTTTTTCGGTAAAGTCACGTTGAAGGGAAACAACAAAATAATAAAATATATATAAAACAATAAAAAAATTCTCACGACGTTTCGGCCATAACTCAAACGGTCGTCGAAACGTCGTGAGAATTTTTTATTGTTTTATATATATTTTATTATTTTGTTGTTTCCCTTCAACGTGACTTTACCGAAAAAAGATTGTAAATGTTGTGGGTTTACTCAACACACCGGTGTGTGCTGAAACAGTAACCAATTGGCACGTTTTGTTTAAGTGACAAACCTTACTATTTGGCTGCTTCGGGTGGTGACGGATTTAAACGCATTTATATTTACGCGATCTAAACCAAATTTAAAAACCTCTATTGTGGCCTGGTTGTCTGTTGGATCAAAAGCGTTTAATGTGGCTGCCCCCCCCAAGTTTTGGAAGCACCTAAGATTCGTCTTTTGCCACCACTGTCCTCACTTTAACTGACTTATTAAAAATCACTTAGTTTAATATGTTGTTAAAAAGGTAATTTTAACAACATAAATGCAATTATTATTAAGTTTGTTGGTTTTTTTATTTACTCTGGAACTGTGGAACGCTGCAAGCCGAGTCGCCCTCGAAAAAGAGCTTCTGAGCTCTACGGCTTCACTCGTTGGGAAATAACCTCCTGGTTCCAAGTCTCTGTCTCTCAGTCACACGAGGCCATTAAACAAGGGAAATGTTTAAACGAAACTTTTTATCTTACCAGGTAAGGCCCCACTGAGCTACGTAGCTCTTTTTCACAAATGATATCTCAACGAAGTGGCTTATCAAGTGGAAATTTATAGCAGCAGCCAAATACTCTAAAACACGTGACGTTCTAAATGTGGAGAAAAATCCACGTGGCCACGGGAAGAGCGAAACACACAAACTCCAAATACATAGCAGCAGGCATCAGTCGGGATCGAACCCACGACCTCCATCAGTTAACATCTCCTAGCCATTTAAAGCTTTCGTGACTGCAAGGATTCATCTTCTTTGGTTCTTTCGGTAAAGTCACGTAGAATGAAATGAAGGCCGCTTGTGTTGTGGCCGAAACGTCGTGAGAATATTATTGTTATTTTATTTTTATCAATTTATTATTTTATTCTCATTCTACGTGACTTTACCGAAAGAACCAAAGAAGATCTCCTAGCCACCGTGGCGAGGGCAGTAAGAGCGATATCACTATAAGGGCAGCAGATGACAGCGATGGGGGTGGGAGATGTCATTGGGAGCACGCAAGCGAGTGGCAGCACGAGGAGGGCAGCGACGGGTCGGGGGAGGGCAGAGGGGCAGAGGGGGCGGTGGGGCAGCAGCCACGTACGTGTGCTGGGCACGCTGCTGTCGCCGGCATTCTCGCGACTGCGCTTGCCGCGCTTGTTCTGCGGGGTGGAGGGTGGAGAAGACATTGCCCTGACGATGCCGCTGCTGCTGGTCGTGGGGGGCTGGAGAAGGGCAAGGGGGGAGGGGGGGTGGGGGCGAGAGGAGGGGTGGGGGGAGAGTGGGGGAGGCAGAGAGGGACGGGAGCGGCACGGGTTAGAGTATAGCTTAGCTAGGTTAGTGTTAGGGCCAGTGTTTGTGTCTGAGCTAGGTTAGTGTTAGGGCCAGTGTTAGTCTCCGAGCTAGGTTAGTGCTAGGGCCATTATTAGTCTCTGAGCTAGGTTAGTGTTAGGGTCAGTGTTAGTCTCCGAGCTAGGTTAGTGCTAGGGCCAGTATTAGTCTCTGAGCTAGGTTAGTGTTAGGGTCAGTGTTAGTCTCTGAGCTAGGTTAGGCGTTAGGGCCAGTGTTAGTCTCTGAGCTAGGTTAGTGTTAGGGCCAGTGTTAGTCTCCGAGCTAGGTTGATGTTAGGGCCAGTGTTAGTCTCCGAGCTAGGTTAGTGCTAGGGCCAGTATTAGTCTCTGAGCTAAGTTAGTGCTAGGGCCAGTGTTAGTCTCCGAGCTAGGTTAGTGTTAGGGCCAGTGTTAGTCTCCGAGCTAAGTTAGTGCTAGGGCCAGTGTTAGTCTCCGAGCTAGGTTGATGTTAGGGCCAGTGTTAGTCTCCGAGCTAGGTTAGTGCTAGGGCCAGTATTAGTCTCCGAGCTAAGTTAGTGCTAGGGCCAGTGTTAGTCTCCAAGCTAGGTTAGTGTTAGGGCCAGTGTTAGTCTCCGACCTAAGTTAGTGCTAGGGCCAGTGTTAGTCTCTGAGCTAGGTTAGTGTTAGGGCCAGTGTTAGTCTCCGAGCTAGGTTGATGTTAGGGCCAGTGTTAGTCTCCGAGCTAGGTTAGTGCTAGGGCCAGTATTAGTCTCCGAGCTAAGTTAGTGCTAGGGCCAGTGTTAGTCTCCGAGCTAGGTTAGTGTTAGGGCCAGTGTTTGTGTCTGAGCTAGGTTAGTGCTAGGGGCAGTGTTAGTCTCTGAGCTAGGTTAGTATTAGGGCCAGTGTTAGTCTCCGAGCTAGGTTAGTGCTAGGGCCAGTATTAGTCTCTGAGCTAGGTTAGTGTTAGGGTCAGTGTTAGCCTCTGAGCTAGGTTAGGCGTTAGGGCCAGTGTTAGTCTCTGAGCTAGGTTAGTGTTAGGGTCAGTGTTAGTCTCCGAGCTAGGTTGATGTTAGGGCCAGTGTTAGTCTCCGAGCTAGGTTAGTGCTAGGGCCAGTATTAGTCTCTGAGCTAAGTTAGTGCTAGGGCCAGTGTTAGTCTCCAAGCTAGGTTAGTGTTAGGGCCAGTGTTAGTCTCCGACCTAAGTTAGTGCTAGGGCCAGTGTTAGTCTCTGAGCTAGGTTAGTGTTAGGGCCAGTGTTAGTCTCCGAGCTAGGTTGATGTTAGGGCCAGTGTTAGTCTCCGAGCTAGGTTAGTGCTAGGGCCAGTATTAGTCTCCGAGCTAAGTTAGTGCTAGGGCCAGTGTTAGTCTCCGAGCTAGGTTAGTGTTAGGGCCAGTGTTTGTGTCTGAGCTAGGTTAGTGCTAGGGGCAGTGTTAGTCTCTGAGCTAGGTTAGTATTAGGGCCAGTGTTAGTCTCTGAGCTAGGTTAGTGTTAGGGTCAGTGTTAGTCTCTGAGCTAGGTTAGGCGTTAGGGCCAGTGTTAGTCTCTGAGCTAGGTTAGTGTTAGGGTCAGTGTTAGTCTCCGAGCTAGGTTAGTGCTAGGGCCAGTATTAGTCTCCGAGCTAAGTTAGTGCTAGGGCCAGTGTTAGTCTCCGAGCTAGGTTAGTGTTAGGGCCAGTGTTTGTGTCTGAGCTAGGTTAGTGCTAGGGGCAGTGTTAGTCTCTGAGCTAGGTTAGTATTAGGGCCAGTGTTAGTCTCCGAGCTAGGTTAGTGCTAGGGCCAGTATTAGTCTCTGAGCTAGGTTAGTGTTAGGGTCAGTGTTAGCCTCTGAGCTAGGTTAGGCGTTAGGGCCAGTGTTAGTCTCTGAGCTAGGTTAGTGTTAGGGCCAGTGTTAGTCTCCGAGCTAGGTTGATGTTAGGGCCAGTGTTAGTCTCCGAGCTAGGTTAGTGCTAGGGCCAGTATTAGTCTCTGAGCTAAGTTAGTGCTAGGGCCAGTGTTAGTCTCCAAGCTAGGTTAGTGTTAGGGCCAGTGTTAGTCTCCGACCTAAGTTAGTGCTAGGGCCAGTGTTAGTCTCTGAGCTAGGTTAGTGTTAGGGCCAGTGTTAGTCTCCGAGCTAGGTTGATGTTAGGGCCAGTGTTAGTCTCCGAGCTAGGTTAGTGCTAGGGCCAGTATTAGTCTCCGAGCTAAGTTAGTGCTAGGGCCAGTGTTAGTCTCCGAGCTAGGTTAGTGTTAGGGCCAGTGTTTGTGTCTGAGCTAGGTTAGTGCTAGGGACAGTGTTAGTCTCTGAGCTAGGTTAGTATTAGGGCCAGTGTTAGTCTCTGAGCTAGGTTAGTGTTAGGGTCAGTGTTAGTCTCTGAGCTAGGTTAGGCGTTAGGGCCAGTGTTAGTCTCTGAGCTAGGTTAGTGTTAGGGTCAGTGTTAGTCTCTGAGCTAGGTTAGTGTTAGGGCCAGTGTTAGTCTCTGAGCTAAGTTAGTGTTAGGGTCAGTGTTAGTCTCTGAGCTAGGTTAGTGTTAGGGTCAGTGTTAGTCTCTGAGCTAGGTTAGTGTTAGGGCCAGTGTTTGTGTCTGAGCTAGGTTAGTGTTAGGGTCAGTGTTAGTCTCTGAGCTAGGTTAGGCGTTAGGGCCAGTGTTAGTCTCTGAGCTAGGTTAGGCGTTAGGGTCAGTGTTAGTCTTTGAGCTAAGTTAGTGATAGGGCCAGTGTTAGTCTCTGAGCTAGGTTAGGCGTTAGAGCCAGTGTTAGTCTCTGAGCTAGGTTAGTGTTAGGGCCAGTGTTTGTGTCTGAGCTAGGTTAGTGTTAGGGCCAATGTTAGTCTCTGAGCTAGATTAGTGTTTGGGCCAGTGTTAGTCTCCGAGCTATGCTCATGTTAGGGCCAGTGTTAGTCTCCGAGCTAGGCTAGTGTGTTAGTGTGAGGTAGGCTAGTGTTAGTGAGAGCTAGGCGAGTGTTGGTGTGTTAGTGTGAGCTAGGCTAGTGTTGGTGTGTTAGTGTGAGCTCGGCTAGTGCGTTAGTGTGAGGTAGGCTAGTGTTAGTGTGTTAGTGTGAGCTAGGTTAGTGTGTGTGAGCTAGGTTGGTGTGTTAGTGTGAGCTAGGCGAGTGTGTTAGTGTGAGGTAGGCTAGTGTTAGTGTGAGGTGTGTTAGTGAGGTAGGCTAGTGTGTTAGTGTGAGCTAGGTTAGTGTGTTAGTGTAAGGTAGGCTAGTGTGTTAGTGTGAGGTAGGCTAGTATTAGTGTGTTAGTGTGAGGTAGGTTAGTGTTACTGTGAGGTAGGCTAGAGTGTTAGTGTGAGGTAGGCTAATGTGTTAGTGTGAGCAAGGCGAGTGTGTTAGTGTGAGGTAGGCTAGTGTGTTAGTGTGAGATAGGTTAGTGTGAGGTAGGCTAGTGTGTTAGTGTTTGTGTGAGGTAGGTTAGTGCAAGTGTGTTAGTGTGAGCTAGGCGAGTGTTGGTGTGTTAGTGTGAGGTAGGCTAGTATTAGTGTGTTAGTGTGAGGTAGGTTAGTGTTAGTGTTACTGTGAGGTAGGCTAGTGTGTTAGTGTGAGGTAGGCTAATGTGTTAGTGTGAGAAAGGCGAGTGTGTTAGTGTGAGGTAGGCTAGTGTGTTAGTGTGAGATAGGTTAGTGTTAGTGTGAGGTAGGCTAGTGTGTTAGTGTTTGTGTGAGGTAGGTTAGTGTAAGTGTGTTAGTGTGAGCTAGGCGAGTGTTGGTGTGTTAGTGTGAGGTAGGCTAGTGTTGGTGTGTTAGTGTGAGGTAGGCTAGTGTTGGTGTGTTAGTGTGAGCTAGGTGTGTGTTGGTGTGTTGTGTGAGGTAGGCTAGTGTTGGTGTGTTAGTGTGAGCTAGGCTAGTGTTAGTGTGAGCTAGGTTAGTGTGTTAGTGTGAGGTAGGCTAGTGTTGGTGTGTTAGTGTGAGCTAGGTTAGTGTGAGGTAGGCTAGTGTTGGTGCGTTAGTGTGAGGTAGGCTAGTGTTGGTGAGTTAGTGTGAGCTAGGTTAGTGTGAGGTAGGCTAGTGTTGGTGTGTTAGTGTGAGGTAGGCTAGTGTTGGTGTGTTAGTGTGAGCTAGGCTAGTGTTAGTGTGAGCTAGGTTAGTGTGTTAGTGTGAGCTAGGCTAGTGTGTTAGTGTGAGCTAGGCTAGTGTTTGTGTTAGTGTGAGGTAGGCTAGTGTTGCTGTGAGCTAGGTTAGTGTGTTAGTGTGAGCTAGGCTAGTGTTGCTGTGTTAGTGTGAGGTAGGCTAGTGTTGGTGTATTAGTGTGAGCTCGGCTAGTGTTAGTGTGAGCTAGGTTAGTGTTAGTGTGAAGTAGGTTAGTGTGTTAGTGTGAGGTAGGCTAGTGTTGGTGTGTTTGTGTGAGCTCGGCTAGTGTTAGTGTGAGCTAGGTTAGTGTGTTAGTGTGAGCTAGGTAGTGATAGTGTGTTAGTGTGAGTTAGGCTAGTATTGGTGTGTTAGTGTGAGGTAGGCTAGTGTGTTAGTGTGAGGTAGGCTAGTGTGCTAGTGTGAGGTAGGCGAGTGTTGGTATGTTAGTGTGAGGTAAGCTAGTGTGTTAGTGTGAGGTAGGTGTGTTAGTGAGGTAGGTTAGTGTTAGTGTGAGGTAGGCTAGTGTGTTAGTGTGAGCTAGGCTAGTGTGTTAGTGTGAGCTAGGTTAGTGTGTTAGTGTGAGCTAGGCTAGTATGTTAGTGTGAGGTAGGTTAGTGTTAGTGTGTTTGTGTGAGCTAGACTAGTGTGTTAGTGTGAGGTAGGCGAGTGTGCTAGTGTGAGGCAAGCTAGTGTGTTAGTGTGAGCTAGGTTAGTGTGTTAGTGTGAGCTAGGTTAGTGATAGTGTGTTAGTGTGAGTTAGGCTAGTATTGGTGTGTTAGTGTGAGGTAGGCTAGAGTGTTAGTGTGAGGTAGGCGAGTGTGTTAGTGTGAGGTAGGCGAGTATGCTAGTGTGTTAGTGTGAGCTAGGTTAGTGTGTTAGTGTGAGGTAGGTTAGTGTGAGCTAGGCTAGTGTGTTAGTTTGAGCTAGGCTAGTGTGTTAGTGTGAGGTAGGCGAGTGTGTTAGTGTGAGGTAGGCGAGTGTGCTAGTGTGTTAGTGTGAGCTAGGCGAGTGTTGGTGCTAGGATGGCCCGGGCCATCATTTTGAGGCCTCGCTTGAGACAGCGACTGCCGAGTGAGCAGCGGGGCGCGCACAGCAACAGGCGGGCGCGCGACACCACAACCACAGCCTCCGCCACATCCCATGGGGGTGATGGCGGTTGTTGTCATTAAGACAGTGACAGCTATTCGAGGTTGTTAAAGACTTTCGCGCCAAAACTAAACACACTTGTCGTACGGTGCCGCGTTGGCAGTGGCGCACGAGCACACACACAACGCAACACATTCTCCAAACACACACAGCGGCCAGAACGGAAACACATGACAGGCGACGTTTCGGACAACCGCCCTCCTCGCATAGCCAAAACGGGAGCGGCGGGCCCAGCGCTTTGACGCGACCCCCCCCCCCGCCTCGCGTCTCTCTGCCCTCTCGGGGACCCGCGCGGACCTCGTCAGCCAGCCGAGCCGTTCCCTCTCGCGATACACGATGGAGCACTCCCCCCCCCCTACCCCTAAAGGTGCAGATACGTTGAGGAGGGGGGGGTCCTGGAATCCCGTGCCCCCCACTTTTAATTCTCACCGAGTGATTGCAGGTGGAGATGCCGCTGCTGCTGTACACGCCACCTCCGAGTGCCTTTCCCGCCAAAAGTGGTAACCACGTGACGAGTTTTCGCGGGTAAAAAAGCAGTTGACCAATCACAAGGCAGGGTTTTGTGAGGGGGCGAGGCGGGGGGAGGAATCGATAACTTTACTCGCATGAATCGATACCAACACACTGCTTTACATTCAGAGGAATCGCTTTTCGCAGACTCCGTAAATTCGATTATAATCACCGACTCCGCCCACTTCGCGGGTAGCCCCGCCCTCCGCTGGCATCCGATGGAGCCATGAAGCAGGGCCATGACGCGAAACGTCGCCATCTGACAGACTTTCCCTTCCAAAGGCCGCAGTGCTGTTGTCGGCTGTGCGTGTTCACCACTGCCAGCAGCATGACCGGCAATAATGTGTTCGACATTGATTGACGTGTGTGTCAATTCGAGAGACGCGTTCAGCAATCATCAGGCGCGTGCAGCGTGTGGAGACTTCGTCGGTTTTTCAAAACAGAGGTCGGATCGGTAGAAACCCAGGAGATGATGCGTCACGACACACGTGTGTGTGTGTCCGCGAGTCATCATGTGTTTGCCATGTGTGTGTGGGGGGGGAGCAGTGGTGCAGTGGTTAGCGCTGCACTGCGCTACGAACCCGGTGACCCGAGTTCGATTCCCGGTCACGGTCACCACTAGCACCAGTGAGGATTATCTGATACAGTCCTGGTCCTCCCCTAGGTCGACTGGGGAGGCAAAGGCGGCCGGGAGTGGTGTTGTCCACACCACGCACGCCCTCCTCGTGTGCCGTCCCGGCCATCTCGCTACTGCACAAGAGCTTCATAGCTCATCGGATTCCTCCACATATAAATAAACATCGGATTCTGTTTCTTTCCCAACCGTCGTCTAAAGGCTTCACATTTACATTATTTAGATTATTTTTCTGCTATAAATTTCCACGTGAATAGCCACTTCGTTGAGCTATCATTTGTGGCCAGGTCGCTTCTGAAATAGAAGCGCGTTGCTCAGTGGACTTTACCTGGTAAGATTTAAAATGTAGTAACAGTATTAGTATATTTTTGGTAGTGATTTGTTTACCTTTCCTATACTTTGCACTCCAATCGTGTTTTTGTACTGTTTGTTGTTGCAATGTTATCAGCCCATGCCCCGACTGGACATCTGTAAAAAAACAAGAGCTTTATAGCTCATCGGGTTAATTCTCCTGCTGTAGTATAACTATTCCGAGTGTCCACGTGACGCCACGTGACCGCTGTGTTGTCAGTGGACGCCCCTTGCACCCACAGGTGAACATACTTCAACAATCGTGATTTGAAACTTTGGTGACTGCAGGAATCCATACTCTTTGGTTCTTTCGGTAAAGTCACGTAGGTATAAAATAAAACACGACGTTTCGATCGCAACACAAGCGATCTTCATCAGGTGGGACAACCACGGCAAGAAAATGGTGAAGTGGACGGGAGAGCTGCCGTGGCAAGAGGTGATACCGTGTAGGAACCTCCTGGTTACTACACCACCAGCACCAGCCCACAGGGGGTTATTGTGTCCGTCCGTCGTGCGTCCAAAAGTGGGAGGGGTGGGGCTGGGTGGAGAGGGGCTGGGTGGGGAGGGTGGGTGGGGAGGGTGGAGAGGGGCTGGGTGGAGAGGGTGGGTGGGGAGGGTGGAGAGGGGCTGGGTGGAGAGGGTGGGTGGGGAGGGGCTGGGTGGGGAGGGTGGGGAGGGGCTGGGTGGGGGGTTGGAGGGGTGGGGCTGGGTGGGGAGGGTGGGGCTGGGTGGAGAGGGAGGGAGGGGAGGGGCTGGGTGGGGTGGGGAGGGTGGGGACGGGCTGGGTGGGGAGGGTGTGGCTGGGTGGGGGGTTGGAGGGGTGGGGCTGGGTGGAGAGGGTGGAGAGGGTGGGGGGTGGGAGGGGTGGGGCTGCGTGGGGGGTTGGAGGGGTGGGGCTGGGTGGGGGGTTGGAGGGGTGTGGCTGGGTGGGGGGTTGGAGGGGTGGGGCTGGGTGGGGGGTTGGAGGGGTGGGGCTGGGTGGAGAGGGTGGAGAGGGTGGGGGGTGGGAGGGGTGGGGCTGCGTGGGGGGTTGGAGGGGTGGGGCTGGGTGGGGGGTTGGAGGGGTGTGGCTGGGTGGGGGGTTGGAGGGGTGGGGCTGGGTGGGGGGTTGGAGGGGTGGGGCTGGGTGGAGAGGGTGGAGAGGGTGGGGGGTGGGAGGGGTGGGGCTGGGTGGGGAGGGGCTGGTCACCCCGTGGTGCCCTTGTAAAACTCAACGTTTAACCTACTCACGCCGGCTTGTGCCCGCCCTCACAGTCGGGCATATTTGCGGAATACACCACGTGGTGGTGCCGTTGACCCGGCCATTGACCGAGCAACCCGACGTTCCTAGCAGCTCCCTCCGCTAGAATGTGTTATAGGTCAGAGGGGGGAGGAGGCAAGGGGGGGGGAGAAAGAGAGAGGGGGGTGTGGGGTAGGGGGGGGGGGGCGTGAGCGCTCGGGGAAGAGGACGCGAGGCTGGGGGAAGGGGGGAAGTGGGCGGGGCTGAAAGTGGTAAGGTGGTGGAAGAAGAGAAAGAGGATGCCAGGCTGGGGGAGCGTGGACAGGGCTAGCAGTAAGCCGGCAGGTAATGATGGAAACAGCAAGTAAAGGTTTTACCTGGTTAATAACATCCTTCCAATGATTGCTCAATTTGTATCCATCTTCTCGGTTGAAGTTCTGTCTATGTTCATGAAGCCATCCAGATATAAACTTTTGATAGTAGCCCGAAGGTTTGCAGAGTACCTTGGTCTCGGAAAAAAATAATATCATGAGAGCCCACAGCGTTATAACAGTGGTCAGCTACGGCAGAGGTATTGGTCCTGCCATGTTTCAGAGCTGCCTTGCGTTCGCGAACACGGTCCGAGATATGTCGTTTCGTTTCACCAATGTAACTGCGACCGCAGGTACAACTCAGTTTGTAAACTCCAGGGTATTGCATGTCAGGAGTGACATCCTTCACAGATGGGATTAGATCACGGATTGTGTACTGTATTGAATCGGACCTGGATCTTGTGTTTAAGATTTTAGAAATATTTTTGGTAATGCCTGCTATGTATGGTAACGTGATGGTTTTGATTGGCTTCTCAGGGGGTTTATTCTCCATGGTTGGAGAAACAGCTTTGCGAATAATGTGGTCCGAGTACCTATTCATCTTGAGGGCCTGGTGTACCTGTTCCAGTTCACTGGCTAGGTGGTGTTGGTCGGAGATGCAGTGGGCCCGATGGTGTAGTGTTTTGATGAGGGAATTCTTCCGTGCCGGACGGTGGTGGGAATCAGGTTTTAGATAGGAATCTGTGAGGGTGGCTTTCCTGTGGACAGTGTTCCAAAGAGCTGGCAGGCCTTTTCTCAAACAGAACATCCAGGAATGGTAGCTTACCATCCTTCTCCACTTCCATGGTGAATTTTATGGATGGGTGTATGGAATTGATGTGCTTGAGAAATTGGTTCAATGCTGGCAGGCCATGTGGCCAAATGACGAAAGTGTCATCTACGTATCTCTTCCACAAGGAATGACGTAGGGTGGATGTGTGGATGGCATCTGTTTCAGATTTCTCCATGAAAATATTCGCTATCACTGGTGATACGAGGGAACCCATTGGGGTACCTTCATTTTGTTCGTAGAAAGTACCATTCCAGGTAAAGTAAGTGTTGGTAAGGCAGTGCCTAACCAGAGTAGGTACATCAGAATTCAGACCATGTTGGACCAAGTCTTCAATTATTGCTAAGGTGTCAGGTACAAGAACCTTGGTGAACAGAGAGACTACATCAAAGCTGACAAGCACATCATCTGGAGACAGTGAGATCCCCTTTTAATAGAGAGACCAAGTCAGCCGAGTTACGTACTGCTGAGGTACCCTTGCCCGTGAATGGAAGCAAGGTCTCAGACAAAAATCGGGCCAGTTTGTAGGTAGGTGAGTTGATGGTGGAAACGATGGGCCGAAGTGGAGTACCTTCTTTATGGATTTTTGGAAGACCATAGAATCTGGGTGGTCTAGCAGCAGAGGGTTTTAGGGAGAGCCGCTTGAATAGTTCGATTAGAGAAGTCGAATTGTTGATGATATTGTTGGTTTTTGTAGCCAGGCAGTTGGTAGGATCCTTGTTAATTTTGGTGTGACTGCCATCATTAAGAAGGTCCTGGATTGTTGTTATATGTGGTTTTATCCATGATGACAGTAGCATTGCCCTTGTCGGCTGAGAGGATGACTGTCCTCTCTTTTTCAATTTGGCGAGATCAGAGCGCTCGTCTATGCTGATTTTACTAATGGGCTTCTTAGCATTTTTAAGGATGGTGGCAACTTCAGATCTTGCCACGTCAGCTGGGATGTGTCCCAAGCCTTTGAGGGATACATCTACCTGGGCAATTATATCATCCACTGGGATGTGTTCGGGGGTGACAACAAAATTCAGCCCTCTAACTAGTACCGATTTTAGGCTGAGATTGTGCTGTTACTGAGAATCCAATCAGGCAATACCTGCCGGTTTACTGCTAGCCCCGCACACGTCCCCCCCCCAGCCTCACGTCCTCTTCCCCTCGCGCTCACGCGGCACCCCCCTCCTCCCCTCTCTCTCCCCACTCTCTTACCGATACAACCTCTTGCCACGGCAGCTCTCGCTTGTGTTGCGATCGAAACGTCGTGATGTATTTGATTTTATTTCTACCTACGTGACAATTCATTACAAAACCCGGACAGGACCCTTGGGAAATTCTGGCCGAGGATTATGGATTCGCGCCTCCTCCCTCGTTCAGAATAGAGGCAGACCGAGAGAAAGCAGAGACGGAACAAACGAGACGGGGCACGCGTGACTGCCGCGTGAGTTTGGGTGCTCATCACGCGGATTGCTCTTCTCTTTATTGCTCGTTCCGAACAGCTTCGCCGTGGGCACGTGGAGGAGCGTCACGGACAACGCGGACACGACACGACACTCCCGCGCCGCGCCTGCACATCCATGCCGGGTTTCGCTTCTCCGCTCCGGAGGAGTCGGGGTGGGTGGGAGGAAGGGTGTGTGGGTGGGGTGGGAGGGGTGGGGTGTGTGGGTGGGGTGGGAGGGGTGGGTGGTGTGTGTGGATGGTGTGTGTGGGTGGGGTGTGTGGGTGGGG